CCACAGGGGATGGCTCCCTCCAAGGCTAACCCTTATACACCCCTTGGAGGATGACTACTTCCAAGGATGCCCCTTACATACCCCTCGGTGATACCCCTTGGGGATGATTCCCTTCCAAGATACCCCTTAGACAGCCCCTCGGGGGATGACTCCCTCCGAGGATACCCCTTACATACCCCTTAGGGGATGACACCCTCCAAGGTTGCCCCTTACATACCCCTTAGGGGATGACACCTTCCAAGGTTGCCCCTTACATACCCTTTAGGGGACGACCCCCTCCAAGGATGCCCCTTACACAACCCTTGGGGTATAACGTCCTTCGAGGATGCCCCTTCCATACCCCTTAGGGGACGACCCCCTCCAAGGATGCCCCTTCCATACCCCTTAGGGGACGACACCCTCCAAGGTTGCCCCTTCCATACCCCTTAGGGGACGACCCCCTCCAAGGATGCCCCTTACATACCCCTTAGGGGATGACACCCTCCAAGGATGCCCCTTACATACCCCTTAGGGGATGACACCCTCCAAGCTCCAAGGTTGCCCCTTACATACCCCTTAGGGGATGACACCCTCCAAGGATGCCCCCTACATACCCCTTAGGGGATGACACCCTCCATGGATGCCCCTTACACACCCCTTTGGGTATGACGTCCTTCGAGGGTACACCTCACACATGCCTCAGGTCTGTGTATAGAATATCCCATGTGAACCCCAGCACTTCATGTGTGGAATCTGCCAAGAGGTGGAATTTTTGGGTCGTTCTCTGTGGAATGTTCGGATGGGATCGGTCTTTGTAACAGAGGAAGGATCTCAGACATGAAATGACAGGCTGATTGTTTCCCTTTAATCCGACATTCTCCACCAAACGGCTCCCCTCGGACGATGTGCCATACTCATTACACCAGGCTCCGCCATGAACTGAACCCCAATAACACCCAGCAGAGAGATGACATTTGAAGTCTTTTTATTGTTTGTGGTAAACATACATTAGAAAGCACTGAGCTCAGATTAACATCGTCCCAAAAACCGTCCCAGAAAGAGAAGTTCTAGACAAAAGTTTACACTTTATAAAAGTTACAGTATCGTGAGAGAACGCGGAGTGCCTCCTACGATGGAGTTATTGCTCTGGGGGGGGGGGTAGAGGCGGAGTCAGGACAGAAGGGGAGGGGCCATGTCAGTTTAGCGGGAAATGGATTTGAGGGGCCCATTTATAAAGATCGTCTCCTCTCTCCGATTTCATACATTTGGAAATAGAAGTTATGACGATGAAATTCGGATGGACGGTCAGATCGTCCCTGTATAGAAAATATCGGATTAGACCGCGTTTGGGGGGATGGGAAGCACCGGAAATGTTTTTGCCATAAAAAAACAAAAACGGGAGGAAAATCGTCACAAAATGATAAAACGATTTACAATCAGGAAAGGAGAACTTCCATCTTTATAAATGGCCCCTCGGTGGTATCATGTTTGTCCAGGCAAAGAGGACCTGTCACACCCGCCCAGTGCCAACTGTTCACCGGAGCTCTGCCACCTCCCACCATGCCACGGCTCTCCAGTATTTATCTACATTGGAAATACAATTCTCTGCTTACCCACACTTTAGGGGGCGCAGGCAGGGCATCAAAGGGGGGGGGGGCAGAGAGGAAATCGGGGGCTCAATGGGTGAGGCAGTCAGTGACACGGCAGCCAGCGGAGGTTATGATAGGATCACGTATCCTGCACCCACCTCCCTGCATGACGCTGCATCCGGCACCGCTAAAGGCAGAACGTAGAGTTTCCTGCCCCCCCTCCCCCCCATGGGTGTTTTACTGTATCTTCCCCGGCACCACTAATGGTGGTAGGTGGCATTTACTGCACCCCCCCCCCCATGGGTGTAACACTGCATCTGCCTTAGCACCACTAATGGCGGAAGGTGGCATTTCCTGCACCCCCCCCCCCCCCATGGGTGTAACACTACATCTGCCTTAGCACCACTAATGGCGGAAGGTGGCATTTCCTGCACCCCCCCTCCCCATGGGTGTCACAGTGCGTCTGCCCCGGCACCACTAATGGCAGAAGGTGGCATTTCCTGCACCCCCCCTGCCCCTGGGTGTCACAGTGCGTCTGCCCCAGCACCACTAATGGCAGAAGGTGGCATTTCCTGCACCCCCCCTGCCCCTGGGTGTCACAGTGCGTCTGCCCCGGCACCACTAATGGCAGAAGGTGGCATTTCCTGCACCCCCCCCTCCCCCTGGGTGTCACAGTGCGTCTGCCCCGGCACCACTAATGGCAGAAGGTGGCATTTCCTGCACCCCCCCTCCCCCCTCCCATGGGTGTCACACTGCATCTGCCCCGGCACCACAAAGGGAAGAAGACAGAATCTCTTGCTCCCCTCCCCCCTGGGTGTCATACTTCATCTTCCCCGGCACCACCAATGGCAGAAGGTGGCATTTCCTGCCCCCCCACCCCCCCATGGGTGTCATACTACGTCTGCCCCAGCACCACTAATGGCGAAAGGTGGTATACCCTGACACCCCCCCCCCCCCACAATGAGTGTCACACTGTATCTGCCCCGGGACCACTAATGGTGGAAGGTGGTATTTCCTGACCCCCCTTCCCCATGGGTGTCACTCTGTATCTGCCCCGGCACAGCACCATTAATGGCGGAAGGTGGCATTTCTTACCCCCCCCCCCCCCATGGATGTCACACTGCGTCTGCCCTGGAACCACTAATGACAGAAGGAGGCATTTCCTATCCCCCCCCCCCCATGGGTGTCACACTGTATCTGCCCTGGCACCACTAATGGTGGAAGGTGGTATTTCCTCCTGCCCCCTCCCCCCATGGGTGCCCCGGCAGCAGTTATGAGGATGGCGCCCGGATGAAGTTACTGGATGGGAACGAAGCCTGGTAACAATGAGAACGAAGCCTGGTAGCAATGAGAACGAAGCCTGGTAGCAATGAGAACGAAGCCTGGTAACAATGAGAACGAAGCCTGGTAACAATGAGAACGAAGCCTGGTAACAATGGGAACGAAGCCTGGTAACAATGAGAACGAAGCCTGGTAACAATGGGAACGAAGCCTGGTAGCAATGAGAACGAAGCCTGGTAACAATGAGAACGAAGCCTGGTAACAATGAGAACGAAGCCTGGTAACAATGAGAACGAAGCCTGGTAACAATGGGAACGAAGCCTGGTAACAATGAGAACGAAGCCTGGTAACAATGGGAACGAAGCCTGGTAGCAATGAGAACGAAGCCTGGTAACAATGGGAACGAAGCCTGGTGGCAATGAGAACGAAGCCTGGTAGCAATGAGAACGAAGCCTGGTAGCAATGGGAACGAAGCCTGGTAGCAATGAGACTGAAGCCTGGTAGCAATGAGAACGAAGTCTGGTAACAATGGGAACGAAGCCTGGTAACAATGGGAACGAAGCCTGGTAACAATGGGAACGAAGCCTGGTAACAATGGGAACGAAGCCTGGTAACAATGGGAACGAAGCCTGGTAACAATGGGAACGAAGCCTGGTAACAATGGGAACGAAGCCTGGTAACAATGGGAACGAAGCCTGGTAACAATGGGAACGAAGCCTGGTAACAATGGGAACGAAGCCTGGTAACAATGAGAACGAAGCCTGGTAACAATGGGAACGAAGCCTGGTAACAATGGGAACGAAGCCTGGTAGCAATGGGAACGAAGCCTGGTAACAATGGGAACGAAGCCTGGTAACAATGGGAACGAAGCCTGGCAACAATGGGAACGAAGCCTGGCAGCAATGGGAACGAAGCCTGGCAGCAATGAGAACGAAGCCTGGCAGCAATGAGAACGAAGCCTGGTAGCAATGAGAACGAAGCCTGGTAGCAATGAGAACGAAGCCTGGTAGCAATGAGAACGAAGCCTGGTAGCAATGAGAACGAAGCCTGGTAACAATGGGAACGAAGCCTGGTAACAATGGGAACGAAGCCTGGTAGCAATGGGAACGAAGCCTGGTAGCAATGGGAACGAAGCCTGGTAGCAATGGGAACGAAGCCTGGTAGCAATGGGAACGAAGCCTGGTAGCAATGGGAACGAAGCCTGGTAACAATGGGAACGAAGCCTGGTAACAATGGGAATGAAGCCTGGTAGCAATGGGAACGAAGCCTGGTAACAATGGGAACGAAGCCTGGTAGCAATGGGAACGAAGCCTGGTAGCAATGGGAACGAAGCCTGGTAACAATGAGAACGAAGCCTGGTAACAATGGGAACGAAGCCTGATAACAATGAGAACGAAGCCTGGTAACAATGGGAACGAAGCCTGGTAACAATGGGAACGAAGCCTGGTAGCAATGAGAACGAAGCCTGGTAACAATGAGAACGAAGCCTGGTAGCAATGGGAACGAAGCCTGGTAACAATGAGAACGAAGCCTGGTAACAATGGGAACGAAGCCTGGTAGCAATGAGTATGACGGTTAGCGACTTCTTACATTGAATTAATTCCCACCAACATACAGGAGAAGCGTCAGATGGAGAAGGATGAGGCGGCTGGCGGGATGTTAGAGGAAGGGATGGAGACACTCGGGAAGAAGTCACTGCATGTATGCATAGCACCCTATAGAGAAGAGTAGAACACGCTAAGTCACGTGACACACGGTTACCCCAGCGCCCTCTGCAGGTCACCAGGGGCGTCACAGTCCTGCATTGTGCTGAAGCCGTATATAAATGGACATTCTGTGAGGAATACCCCCGACACGTGCGCAGCGCCCTCACACAGCTTGTGCTTGTCTACAGTCTAGACGCCGGCGGTGACCATGGCAACTCAAATGGTTATTTTTGTTTTATTCTTTTTTCTTAGAAAAAATAACTATTGGTCTTATAAATTCTACCCGGTTAGGATTGGTCGGTTCAAGCAGCCGGTTACTCCCTGCAGCTAAGAAAGCGATGGATCTACTTCTAGATGAGATCGCTGGCACCATGCACGCTGCCAATAAAGTGCTCGCTATCAGATGCTATAGAAGAAAAAGTCGGAGGAGGCTCCTCCCCCTGCGCTAACATACTGAGCTGATGTCCGCGGACACGGGCCGCGAGGCTGGCGGCTTCTCTCCTTGGCTCAGCGTCCTCTTGCGTTCGCGTACGAGGGCTTTCTGGTGGCGCTTCATGCGCTGGAGCTGCTCTTCGGCGCTGATTTTACCTCTTTGGTTGTCGCCGGAGTAAAGGCGCTCAAAGGCACTTTTTGGTCTGTCCTGTCGGAGTGAAAAGAGAAACGACCACCGATGTGTCAGAGAAAAAGAAGGAAACCTTCCCGGCATCTCCGAGGCAGAAGCAGCCGAGCGTTTCATGGCGTTACCTTAGCGGCGTCGGAGCCCCTCCGCAACGTGACGTACGAGGAGACGGAGGAGGACTGCGGGAGCCTGGAGGTCGATCCCGACAAACCTGCAGAAATCAGCGAGGTGGGGGGGGGGGTCACACTCCATAATAAACACAACACACAACACAATGTCCAATAAACCTGAGCGCGCAACTCCGCGACAAACCGAAACTCGGGGGGACCGGGGGCGGACTGACCATTCGGGGGCCCGGGGGCGGGCTGACCATTCGGGGGACCGGGGGCGGACTGACCATTCGGGGGCCCGGGGGCGGACTGACCATTCGGGGGCCCGGGGGCGGGACTGACCATTCGGGGAACCGGGGGCGGGCTGACCATTCGGGGGCCCGGGGGCGGACTGACCATTCGGGGGCCCGGGGGCGGGCTGACCATTCGGGGGCCCGGGGGCGGGCTGACCATTCGGGGGACCTGGGGCGGGCTGACCATTCGGGGGCCTGGGGGCGGACTGACCATTCAGGGGCCCGGGGGCGGACTGACCATTCAGGGGACCAGGGGCGGGCTGACCATTCGGGGGACCAGGGGCGGACTGACCATTCGGGGGCCCGGGGGCGGGCTGACCATTCGGGGGCCCGGGGGCGGGCTGACCATTCGGGGGCCCGGGGGCGGGCTGACCATTCGGGGCACCAGGGGCGGGCTGACCATTCGGGGGACCAGGGGCGGACTGACCATTCGGGGGCCCAGGGGCGGACTGACCATTCGGGGGACCGGGGGCGGGCTGACCATTCGGGGGCCCGGGGGCGGGCTGACCATTCGGGGGCCCGGGGGCGGGCTGACCATTCGGGGGGGCCCGGGGGCGGACTGACCATTCGGGGGCCCAGGGGCGGACTGACCATTCGGGGGACCGGGGGCGGGCTGACCATTCGGGGGACCGGGGGGGGCTGACCATTCGGGGGACCGGGGGCGGCTGACCATTCGGGGGCCCGGGGGCGGGCTGACCATTCGGGGGCCCGGGGGCGGGCTGACCATTCGGGGGCCCGGGGGCGGGCTGACCATTCGGGGGCCCGGGGGCGGGCTGACCATTCGGGGGACCGGGGGCGGGCTGACCATTCGGGGGCCCGGGGGCGGGCTGACCATTCGGGGGCCCGGGGGCGGGCTGACCATTCGGGGGCCCGGGGGCGGGCTGACCATTCGGGGCACCAGGGGCGGGCTGACCATTCGGGGGCCCGGGGGCAAACTGACCATTCGGGGGCCCGGGGGCGGACTGACCATTCGGGGGCCCGGGGGCGGGCTGACCATTCGGGGGCCCGGGGGCGGGCTGACCATTCGGGGGCCCGGGGGCGGGCTGACCATTCGGGGGCCCGGGGGCGGGCTGACCATTCGGGGGCCCGGGGGCGGGCTGACCATTCGGGGGGACCGGGGGCGGACTGACCATTCGGGGGCCCGGGGGCGGGCTGACCATTCGGGGGCCCGGGGGCGGGCTGACCATTCGGGGGCCCGGGGGCGGGCTGACCATTCGGGGGCCCGGGGTCAGTAGGGGGCCCCATGAGATGCCCCTGGTACCTTTTTCATAGGCTTTTTTGAGTTTGGGCAAGGACACAGGGGCCCCATGATCCCCTATTGCCCGGGGGCCCCATGAGTTGTCAGTCCGCCCCTGTGGGTGACATTTTCCTTGTTCCCAAATTCAGATTTATCTCCATTTCCAAATCACAACAGTAACAAAATCCAACAAATCCAAAATAAATGAGAAAAACAGAATAGGATAAAATATAAAAAAAAATATATATTAACGCAAAAAATAATATAAATGAATATAATAAAGCAGAAATAGAATAGAACATAAAAGAACAGAATATAATATACCAAATATGATATAAAATATTATCATAAAAAGAATAAAAATAAAATATAAAAGAAAATAATAAAGCAACATAAAATAGAACATAAAAAAAAAAAAATAAAAACAAAAAATAGAAAAAAAAAATAGAATAAACTATAAAAAAAAAAATAAAAAAAAAAAAACAGAATAGAAATAAAAGAAAAAAAAATAAAAAAAAAAGAATATAATATAAAAAAAAATAGGATGGAATACAAAAAAAAAAAAATACTATAATAAAGTAGAAAAAAAAAAAGAAAAAATATAATGTAAAAATATTAAATAAAAAAAAGAAAAAAAACAAAAATATAATAAAAAAAAAAAAAAAACTGAACAGAAAAAAAATAAAAAAAAAAAAAGTAAAAAAAAAGAATAAACATAAAAGAAAAAAAAAAAAAAAACAGAATAAATAAAAAAAAAAAAAAAAAAAAAATAAAAAAAAAAAAAGAACAAAAAAAAAAAAAAAAAAAAAAAAAAAAAAAAAAAAAAAAAAAAAAAAAAAAAAAAAAAAAAAAAAAAAAAAAAAAAAAAAAAAAAAAAAAAAAAAAAAAAAAAAAAAAAAAAAAAAAAAAAAAAAAAAAAAAAAAAAAAAAAAAAAAAAAAAGTAAAAAAAAAAAAAAAAAAAAAAAAAAAAAAAAAAAAAAAAAAAAAAAAAAAAAAACAAAAAAAAAAAAAAAAAAAGAAAAGAAGGGAAAAAAAAAAAATAAAAAAAAAAAAAAGAAAAAAAAAAAAAAAAAAAAATAAAAAGGGAAAATAAAAGAATAGAAAAAGAATAAAAAGAAAAAAAAAAATAATAAAAAAAAAAAAAGGAAGGGAATATAATAAAAATAAATAAAAAAAAAAAAAAAAAAAAAAACAATAGAATAGAAGGGAAAATAAAAGAATAGAATAAACAAAAGAATAAAAAATAAAAAAATAGAATAGAAGGGAATATAAAAAAAAAGAATAGAAAAAAAAAAAAAAAAATATAATATAAAACAATAGAATAAAGGGAATATAAAAGAATAGAATAGAATAAAACAGAAAAGAATATAATATAAAACAATAGAATAGAAGGGAATATAAAAAATAGAATAGAAAAAAAAAAAGAACAGAACATAAATAAAAAAAACAATAGAATAGAAGGGAATATAAAAGAATAAATAAAAAAAGAACAGAAAAAGAATAAAAAAAACAATAGAATAAAAATATAAAAGAATAGAATAGAATAAAACAGAACAGAATATAATATAAAAAAATAGAATAGAAGGGAATATAAAAGAATAGAATAGAATAAAACAGAACAGAATATAATATAAAACAATAGAATAGAAGGGAATATAAAAGAATAGAATAGAAACAGAAAAACAGAATATAATATAAAACAATAGAATAGAAGGGAATATAAAAGAATAGAATAGAATAAAACAGAACAGAATATAATATAAAACAATAGAATAGAAGGGAATATAAAAGAATAGAATAGAACAGAACAGAATATAATATAAAACAAATAGAATAGAAGGGAATATAAAAGAATAGAATAGAATAGAACAGAACAGAATATAGCATTCTTTTGAAATTTGGATTTTGGAATTGATGTGAAAATAAGAATCATACGAAGTTTATTCTGGAAAGGATTCATTCTAAGATAACGAAAACGGTGGAATAAATTTATTCACTTAAGGAACGAATCCGAAAACAAATATTTATCTTCGACTTGTCAGTAACGCACTTTAGAACCTTTACCAAGTCTCTCCGCCTTCAGACTTCATTTAGCCCCACCCAGCTAGGATGCAGATCGGAGGTGACGGGGCATGCTGGGAATTGTAGTTCCCCTCCCTGTCACTATTCCTTCTCTTACCTCTGGTGGGCAACGTCTGGTAGCCAGAATCTGAGCCCAGGAAGCCGGACGGCGGGGAGGCGGAGTCACTGCTGAGATTGGCGAGTTCTGGTTCGCTCACGTAAGTGCGCAGTTCTACCTGTGACCACATAAGAGGGGAAGAAATTCAGATAATAAAAGATAAGAACTGAAAAGCTGCATTATTAGGGCCACAGACAGTGAGACACACGGACAGAGAACTGTGAGGAATATCCTGAAACTTTCCGCCCAAAGAGGCTCCAGTGTGACAATCAGCAGAATATTTGGAGAATAAGCCGGGGTCGGGTCTGTAGCACCTCCCCCCCCCCCCCCCCCAAGGAAGGGTGTAATTTACTTTTTGTATTTGATCTCAGGCTAATCAAAATGGGCTGCGACACTGATACCTGCACAGAGCTCACATCTGGAGAGATGCCTGGGCTGCGGCACTGATACCTGCACAGAGCTCACATCTGGAGAGGGGATGCCTGGGCTGCGGCACTGATACCTGCACAGAGCTCACATCTAGGGGGATGCCTGGGCTGCGGCACTGATACCTGCACAGAGCTCACATCTGGAGAGATGCCTGGGCTGCGGCACTGATACCTGCACAGAGCTCACATCTGGAGAGATGCCTGGGCTGCGGCACTGATACCTGCACAGAGCTCACATCTAGGGGGATGCCTGGGCTGCGGCACTGATACCTGCACAGAGCTCACATCTAGGGGGATGCCTGGGCTGCGGCACTGATACCTGCACACAGCTCACATCTAGGGGGATGCCTGGGCTGCGGCACTGATACCTGCACACAGCTCACATCTAGGAGAGATGCCTGGGCTGCGGCACTGATACCTGCACAGAGCTCACATCTGGAGAGATGCCTGGCTGCGGCACTGATACCTGCACAGAGCTCACATCTGGATCTGGCGGCAGAGATGCCTGGGCTGCGGCACTGATACCTGCACAGAGCTCACATCTAGGGGGATGCCTGGGCTGCGGCACTGATACCTGCACAGAGCTCACATCTAGGAGGGATGATGCCTGGGCTGCTGCGACACTGATACCTGCACAGAGCTCACATCTGGAGAGATGCCTGGGCTGCGGCACTGATACCTGCACAGAGCTCACATCTGGAGAGATGCCTGGGCTGCGGCACTGATACCTGCACAGAGCTCACATCTGGAGAGATGCCTGGGCTGCGGCACTGATACCTGCACAGAACTCACATCTGCAGGATGCCTGGGCTGCGGCACTGATACCTGCACAGAGCTCACATCTAGAGGGATGCCTGGGCTGCAGTACTTCATAAAATTCTGATGACTGTGTAAGCCCCTCCCACCTTGGCACTATGTTGTTAAGTCACAGCAGTGTCTGCCTCCTCACATCACACATGGACTCGGGGGATGGGGGTGGATGCTGGCTGCGGCACTGAAACCTGCACAGAGCTCACATCTAGGTGGATGCCTGGGCTGCGACACTGATACCTCACAGCTCACATCTAGAGATTTGCCTGGGCTGCGGCACTGATACCTGCACACAGCTCACATCTAGAGGGATGCCTGGGCTGCGGCACTGATACCTGCACAGAGCTCACATCTAGAGAGGATGCCTGGGCTGCGGCACACTGATACCTGCACAGAGCTCACATCTAGGGGGATGCCTGGGCTGCGGGCACTGATACCTGCACACAGCTCACATCTAGAGGGATGCCTGGGCTGCGACACTGATACCTGCACAGAGCTCACATCTAGGGGGATGCCTGCGCTGCGGCACTGATACCTGCACACAGCTCACATCTAGGGGGATGCCTGGGCTGCGGCATTGATACCTGCACAGAGCTCACATCTAGGGGATGCCTGGGCTGCGGCACTGATACCTGCACAGAGCTCACATCTAGAGATTTGCCTGGGCTGCGACACTGATACCTGCACACAGCTCACATCTAGGGGGATGCCTGGGCTGCGGCACTGATACCTGCACAGAGCTCACATCTAGAGGGATGCCTGGGCTGCGGCACTGATACCTGCACAGAGCTCACATCTAGGGATGCCTGGGCTGCGGCACTGATACCTGCACAGAGCTCACATCTAGAGGGATGCCTGGGCTGCGCACTGATACCTGCACACAGCTCACATCTAGCCAGAGCTCACATCTGAGACTGGAAGCCCTGGGCTGCGGCACTGATTACCTGCACAGTGTCAGCCTCACATCTAGACTCGGGGGGGTGCCTGGGCTGCGGCACTGATACCTGCACAGAGCTCACATCTAGGGAGGATGCCTGGGCTGCGGCATTGATACCTGCACAGAGCTCACATCTAGGGGGATGCCTGGGCTGCGGCACTGATACCTGCAAAGAGCTCACATCTAGGGGGACGCCTGGTCTGCGGCACTGATACCTGCACAGAGCTCACATCTAGAGGTTGCCTGGGCTGCGGCACTGATACCTGCACAGAGCTCACATCTAGGGGGATGCCTGGGCTGCGGCACTGATACCTGCACACAGAGCTCACATCTAGGGGGATGCCTGGGCTGCGGCACTGATACCTGCACAGAGCTCACATCTAGAGGGATGCCTGGGCTGCGGCACTGATACCTGCACAGAGCTCACATCTAGGGGGATGCCTGGGCTGCGGCACTGATACCTGCACAGAGCTCACATCTAGGGGATGCCTGGGCTGCGGCACTGATACCTGCACAGAGCTCACATCTAGAGGGATGCCTGGGCTGCGGCACTGATACCTGCACAGAGCTCACATCTAGGGGGATGCCTGGGCTGCGGCACTGATACCTGCACACAGATCTAGGGGGACCTGGGCACACACTGATACCTGCACAGAGCTCACATCTAGGGGGATGCCTGGGCTGCGGCACTGATACCTGCACAGAGCTCACATCTAGGGGATGCCTGGGCTGCGGCACTGATACCTGCACAGAGCTCACATCTAGGGGGATGCCTGGGCTGCGGCACTGATACCTGCACACAGCTCACATCTAGGGGGATGCCTGGGCTGCGGCACTGATATACCTGCACAGAGCTCACATCTAGGGGGATGCCTGGGCTGCGGCACTGATACCTGCACAGAGCTCACATCTAGGGGGATGCCTGGGCTGCGGCACTGATACCTGCACAGAGCTCACATCTAGGGGGATGCCTGGGCTGCGGCACTGATACCTGCACACAGAGCTCACATCTAGGGGGATGCCTGGGCTGCGGCACTGATACCTGCACAGAGCTCACATCACATCCTGGGCTGCGGCACTGATACCTGCACAGAGCTCACATCTGCCTGGGCTGCGGCACTGATACCTGCACAGAGCTCACATCTAGGGGATGCCTGGGCTGCGGCACTGATACCTGCACAGAGCTCACATCTAGAGGGATGCCTGGGCTGCGGCACTGATACCTGCACAGAGCTCACATCTAGGGGGATGCCTGGGCTGCGGCACTGATACCTGCACAGAGCTCACATCTAGAGGGATGCCTGGGCTGCGGCACTGATACCTGCACAGAGCTCACATCTAGGGGGATGCCTGGGCTGCGGCACTGATACCTGCACAGAGCTCACATCTAGGGGGATGCCTGGGCTGCGGCACTGATACCTGCACAGAGCTCACACATCTAGGGGATGCCTGGGCTGCGGCACTGATACCTGCACAGAGCTCACATCTAGGGGGATGCCTGGGCTGCGGCACTGATACCTGCACAGAGCTCACATCTGGGGGATGCCAGGGCTGCGGCACTGATACCTGCACAGAGCTCACATCTAGGGATGCCTGGGCTGCGGCACTGATACCTGCACAGAGCTCACATCTAGAGGGATGCCTGGGCTGCGGCACTGATACCTGCACAGAGCTCACATCTAGGGGGATGCCTGGGCTGCGGCACTGATACCTGCACAGAGCTCACATCTAGAGGGATGCCTGGGCTGCGGCACTGATACCTGCACAGAGCTCACATCTAGGGGATGCCTGGGCTGCGGCACTGATACCTGCACAGAGCTCACATCTAGGGGGATGCCTGGGCTGCGGCACTGATACCTGCACAGAGCTCACATCTAGAGGGATGCCTGGGCTGCGGCACTGATACCTGCACAGAGCTCACATCTAGAGGGATGCCTGGGCTGCGGCACTGATACCTGCACAGAGCTCACATCTAGGGGGATGCCTGGGCTGCGGCACTGATACCTGCACAGAGCTCACATCTAGAGGGATGCCTGGGCTGCGGCACTGATACCTGCACAGAGCTCACATCTAGAGGGGATGCCTGGGCTGCGGCACTGATACCTGCACAGAGCTCACATCTAGGGGGATGCCTGGGCTGCGGCACTGATACCTGCACAGAGCTCACATCTAGAGGGATGCCTGGGCTGCGGCACTGATACCTGCACAGAGCTCACATCTAGGGGGATGCCTGGGCTGCGGCACTGATACCTGCACAGAGCTCACATCTAGGGGGATGCCTGGGCTGCGGCACTGATACCTGCACAGAGCTCACATCTAGGGGATGCCTGGGCTGCGGCACTGATACCTGCACACAGCTCACATCTAGAGGATGCCTGGGCTGCGGCACTGATACCTGCACACAGCTCACATCTAGGGGGATGCCTGGGCTGCGGCACTGATACCTGCACACAGCTCACATCTAGGGGATGCCTGGGCTGCGGCACTGATACCTGCACAGAGCTCACATCTAGGGGATGCCTGGGCTGCGGCACTGATACCTGCACAGAGCTCACATCTAGAGGGGGATGCCTGGGCTGCGGCACTGATACCTGCACAGAGCTCACATCTAGGGGGATGCCTGGGCTGCGGCACTGATACCTGCACAGAGCTCACATCTAGGGGGATGCCTGGGCTGCGGCACTGATACCTGCACAGGCTCACATCTAGAGGGATGCCTGGGCTGCGGCACTGATACCTGCACACGAGCTCACACCTAGGGGGATGCCTGGGCTGCGGCACTGATACCTGTCACAGAGCTCACAAATGTACGGTCTAGGGGGATGCCTGGGCTGCGGCACTGATACCTGCACAGAGCTCACATCTAGGGGGATGCCTGGGCTGCAGTATTTCATACAATTCTGAGACTCTCCCATTTGGGCACTCATGTTGTAAAATGTCTCAGCAATCAGTACCATATGGCCGCCTCTCATCACGTGACCTGAGGGGGGAGGGATCATCACAACGTTGCACACATGGCGGTCACTCTTTAACCTTCTCTGGTCATGGTTCATAGCGGTCATAGTGTGGGAACATTTGTTGGAGGATAGTGCGGTGTCGGGGCACTTACCTCTGTAGTCACCGTTGACGCCCTGCCCCAGCTCCCGATCCCTCTTCCTCTCATGGGATTGCCTCTTTAAGCCCCGCACCGACGTATGTCTGATGACAGATGATTCCCGCGGGGGGGGGGTAGGACTGGCGGGGCGGGATGTTCGGGGGATGGTCATCGGACTGTACATGTCTGGCAGGGGAGGTCGGGGCGGGACGCCCTCATCCTGAAATTATGAGATACTTAAAGGGGCAACTCCGGTCCTCAGGAAAGGAGTATACATTTGTACAAATATAGAATATATCGCATGGTGTCAATGTACGGTATATAGAATATCGCGGTGTCACTCTGTATACAATGTACGGTATATAGAATATCGCGGTGTCACGGCGTCCTCTGTATACAATGTACGGTATATAGAATATCGCGGTGTCACGTGGCGTCCTCTGTATACAATGTACGGTATATAGAATATCGCGGTGTCACGGCGTCCTCTGTATACAATGTACGGTATATAGAATATCGCGGTGTCATGGGCGTCCTCTGTATACAATGTACGGTATATAGAATGTCGCGGTGTCACGGCGTCCTCTGTATACAATGTACGGTATATAGAATATCGCGGTGTCACGGCGTCCTCTGTATACAATGTACGGTATATAGAATATCGCGGTGTCACGGCGTCCTCTGTATACAATGTACGGTATATAGAATATCGCGGTGTGTCACGGCGTCCTCTGTATACAATGTACGGTATATAGAATGCGGTCGCGGTGTCAATGTACGAATATCGCGGTGTCACGGCGTCCTCTGTATACAATGTACGGTATATAGAATATCGCGGTGTCACGGCGTCCTCTGTATACAATGTACGGTATATAGAATATCGCGGTGTCACGGCGTCCTCTGTATACAATGTACGGTATATAGAATATCGCGGTGTCACGGCGTCCTCTGTATACAATGTACGGTATATAGAATATCGCGGTGTCACGGGCGTCCTCTGTATACAATGTACGGTATATAGAATATCGCGGTGTCACGGCGTCCTCTGTATACAATGTACGGTATATAGAATATCGCGGTGTCACGGCGTCCTCTGTATACAATGTACGGTATATAGAATATCGCGGTGTCACGGCGTCCTCTGTATACAATGTACGGTATATAGAATATCGCGGTGTCACGGCGTCCTCTGTATACAATGTACGGTATATAGAATATCGCGGTGTCACGGCGTCCTCTGTATACAATGTACGGTATATAGAATATCGCGGTGTCACGGCGTCCTCTGTATACAATGTACGGTATATAGAATATCGCGGTGTCACGGCGTCCTCTGTATACAATGTACGGTATATAGAATATCGCGGTGTCACGGCGTCCTCTGTATACAATGTACGGTATATAGAATATCGCGGTGTCACGGCGTCCTCTGTATACAATGTACGGTATATAGAATATCGCGGTGTCACGGCGTCCTCTGTATACAATGTACGGTATATAGAATATCGCGGGTGTCACGGCGTCCTCTGTATACAATGTACGGTATATAGAATATCGCGGTGTCACGGCGTCCTCTGTATACAATGTACGGTATATAGAATATCGCGGTGTCACGGCGTCCTCTGTATACAATGTACGGTATATAGAATATCGCGGTGTCACGGCGTCCTCTGTATACAATGTACGGTATATAGAATATCGCGGTGTCACGGCGTCCTCTGTATACAATGTACGGTATATAGAATATCGCGGTGTCACGGCGTCCTCTGTATACAATGTACGGTATATAGAATATCGCGGTGTCACGGCGTCCTCTGTATACAATGTACGGTATATAGAATATCGCGGTGTCACGGCGTCCTCTGTATACAATGTACGGTATATAGAATATCGCGGTGTGTCACGGCGTCCTCTGTATACAATGTACGGTATATAGAATCGCGGTGTCACGGCGTCCTCTGTATACAATGTACGGTATATAGAATATCGCGGTGTCACGGCGTCCTCTGTATACAATGTACGGTATATAGAATATCGCGGTGTCACGGCGTCCTCTGTATACAATGTACGGTATATAGAATATCGCGGTGTCACGGCGTCCTCTGTATACAATGTACGGTATATAGAATATCGCGGTGTCACGGCGTCCTCTGTATACAATGTACGGTATATAGAATATCGCGGTGTCACGGCGTCCTCTGTATACAATGTACGGTATATAGAATATCGCGGTGTCACGGCGTCCTCTGTATACAATGTACGGTATATAGAATATCGCGGTGTCACGGCGTCCTCTGTATACAATGTACGGTATATAGAATATCGCGGTGTCACGGCGTCCTCTGTATACAATGTACGGTATATAGAATATCGCGGTGTCACGGCGTCCTCTGTATACAGGCGTCCGTTATCACCGCGGTATATAGAATCAGTGCTAGACCCTCCTTCCCATATCACACCCCGTATATACGTTACTCACGAGTTTCGGTGGCGTTGGCGCCCGGGTTGGCGACTGAAGGCGCAGTTCTGGTTTCTGCAGCAGCTGCGGCTGGGAATACGACCTGCTCTGGGTGTACGGCTGAGGTAAAAGCCCCGCCAAGCGTACTGTATCATAGAATGGGCGGTTCTGAGAAGAGACGGATTTATGCGAACGGATGTGAACGCCGTATATCCCCCCGGAAGGCACAAATGTACCATGTGAACCAAAGGCACCGTTTTCCTTTCTGCAAGAGAGAATTTCACACAGTGAGCGGCTGTGGCCCCTCCGGAGCCCGGCTCCGCCCACAGCGAAGCCATCACGCGGTCGTAGACGGGCACATTTATACGCGATGATCTCTGACATTTCTATCATTCAATGCTGACTGAAGTTTATCATTGTAATACCATCTGGGGATCCTGCCTGCAGGCAGTAAAGTCAGCTCCCCGCTGAACCCCACATGTACATATCAATCCCTGTGTGTTCACTCCCGGCTGAACACCACCTACAGATCAATCCCTGTGTTCACTCCCCGCTGAACACAACCTACAGATCAATCCCCGTGTTCACTCCCCCGCTGAACACCACCTACAGATCAATCCCCGTGTTCACTCCCCGCTGAACACCACCTACAGATCAATCCCCGTGTTCACTCCCCGCTGAACACCCACCTACAGATCAATCCCCGTGTTCACTCCCCGCTGAACACCACCTACAGATCAATCCCCGTGTTCACTCCCCGAGCTGAACACCACCTACAGATCAATCCCCGTGTTCACTCCCCGCTGAACACCACCTACAGATCAATCCCCGTGTTCACTCCCCTTGAACAACACCTACAGATCAATCCCCGTGTTCACTCCCGCTGAACACCACCTACAGATCAATCCCCGTTTGTTCACTCCCCGCTGCTTCACACATACCACCTACAGATCAATCCCCGGTTCAGGCGAACTCCTCCACTGAACACCACCTACAGATCAATCCCCTGTGTTCACTCCCGCTGAACACCACCTACAGATCAATCCCCGTGTCACTCCCCTCTGAACACCACCTACAGATCAATCCCCGTGTTCACTCCCCGCTGAACACCACCTACAGATCAATCCCCGTGTTTCACCAATCCCCGCTGAACACCACCTACAGATCAATCCCTGTGTTCACCCCCGCTGAACACCACCTACAGATCAATCCCTGTGTTCACTCCCCGCTGAACACCACCTACAGATCATATCCCCCTGTGTTCACTCCCCGTGAACACACAATCCGTCCTCCCGCTGAACACCACCTACAGATCAATCCCCTGTTTCACTCCCCGCTGAACACCACCTACAGATCAATCCCCGTGTTCACACCCCCGCTGAACACCACCTACAGATCAATCCCCGTGTTCACTCCCCGCTGAACACCACCTACAGATCAATCCCCGTGTTCACTCCCCGCTGAACACCACCTACAGATCAATCCCCGTGTTCACTCCCCGCTGAACACCACCTACAGATCAATCCCCGTGTTCACTCCCCGCTGAACACCACCTACAGATCAATCCTGTGTTCACTCCCCGCTGAACACCACCTACAGATTCAATCCCCGTGTTCACTCCCCTCTGAACACCACCTACAGATCCATCCCCGTGTTCACTCCCCGCTGAACACCACCTACAGATCAATCCCCGTGTTCACTCCCCGCTGAACACCACCTACAGATCAATCCCCGTGTTCACTCCCCGCTGAACACACCTACAGATCAATCCCCGTGTCACTCCCCGCTGAACACCACCTACAGATCAATCCCCGTGTTCACTCCCCGCTGAACACCACCTACAGATCAATCCCCGTGTTCACTCCCCGCTGAACACCACCTACAGATCAATCCCCCTTCACTCCCCCCTGAACACCACCTACAGATCAATCCCCGTGTTCACTCCCCGCTGAACACCACCTACAGATCAATTCCCCGTGTTCACTCCCCGCTGAACACCACCCTACAGATCAATCCCCGTGTTCACTCCCCTGAACACCACCTACAGATCCATCCCCGTGTTCACATCACTCCCCGTGAACACCCCCCGTGTTGAACACCACCTACAGATCAATCCCCGTGTTCACTCCCCGCTGAACACCACCTACAGATCAATCCCCGTGTTCACTCCCCGCTGAACACCACCTACAGATCAATCCCCGTGTTCACTCCCCGCTGCTTACCACCTACAGATCAATCCCCGTGTTCACTCTCCACTGAACACCACCTACAGATCAATCCCTGTGTTCACTCCCCACTGAACACCACCTACAGATCAATCCCCGTGTTCACTCCCCGCTGAACACCACCTACATATCAATCCCCGTGTTCAATCCCGCTGAACACCACCTACAGATCAATCCCCGTGTTCACTCCCCGCTGAACCCCACCTACAGATCAATCCCCGTGTTCACTCCCCGCTGAACACCACCTACAGATCAATCGGTGTTCACTCCCCACTGAACACCACCTACAGATCAATTCCTGTGTTCACTCCCCGCTGAACACCACCTACAGATCAAGCCCTGTGTTCACTCCCCGCTGAACACCACCTACAGATCAATCCCTGTGTTCACTCCCCTCTGAACACCACCTACAGATCAATCCCCGTGTTCACTCCCCACTGAACACCACCTACAGATCAATCCCCGTGTTCACTCCCCGCTGAACACCACCTACAGATCAATCCGTGTTCACTCCCCGCTGAACACCACCTACAGATCAATCCGTGTGTTCACTCCCCGCTGAACACCACCTATAGATCAATCCCCGTGTTCACTCCCCGCTGAACACCACCTACAGATCAATCCCCATGTTCACTCCCCGCTGAACACCACCTACAGATCAATCCCTGTGTTCACTCCCCTCTGAACACCACCTACAGATCAATCCCTGTGTTCACTCCCCGCTGAACACCACCTACAGATCCATCCACAGATCCACTCCTTCTTTAGTAGCACCGACTCCGCTCAGCCAAAACAGAATATCCGAACATAGTCTGAGATATTGGCACTCCCCGGGCATATCACCCTCTTACGCAGTAGCGCAGTGTACAGCACAGGGGCGGAGTCAGGGGTAGGGATCATACAACAGGGGTGGAGTCAGGGGGGTTGTACAACAGGGGTGGAGTCAGGGGGGTTGTACAACAGGGGCGGAGTCAGGGTAGGGATCGTACAACAGGGGTGGAATCGGGGGTTGTACAACAGGGGCGGAGTCAGGGGTAGAGATCTAAAACAGGGGGGTCAGAGGTAGGGATCGTATAACAGGGGCGGAGTAAGAGGGGATCATAACAGGGGCGGAGTCAAGGGGTAGGGATCGTACAACAGGGACGGAGTCAAGGGGTAGGGATCGTACAATAGGGGCGGAGTCAATGGGTAGGGATCGTACAACAGGGGCAGAGTCAGGGGTAGGGATCGTACAACAGGGGTGGAGTCAGGGGTAGGGAATCGTACAACAGGGGTGGAGTCAGGGGTAGGGATTGTACAAAAGGGGAGGAGTCAGGGGTAGGGATCTTACAAGGGGCGGAGTCAGGGGTAGGGAATCGTACAATCGGGGCGGAGTCAGGGGTAGGGAATCATACAACAGGGGCGGAGTCAGGGGTAGGGATTGTACAAAAGGGGAGGAGTCAGGGGTAGGGATCTTACAAGGGGCGGAGTCAGGGGTAGGGATTCGTACAATCGGGGCGGAGTCAGGGGTAGGGAATCGTACAACAGGGGCGGAGTCAGGGGTAGGGATTGTACAAAAGGGGAGGAGTCAGGGGTAGGGATCTTACAAGGGGCGGAGTCAGGGGTAGGGAATCGTACAACAGGGGAGGAGTCAGGGGTAGAGAATCGTACAACAGGGGCGGAGTCAGGGGTAGAGAATCGTACAACAGGGGGAGGAGTCAGGGGTAGAGAATCGTACAACAGGGGAGGATTCAGGGGTAGAGAATCGTACAACAGGGGCGGAGTCAGGGGTAGGGATCGTACAACAGGGGCGGAGTCAGGGGTAGGGAATCGTACAACAGGGGAGGAGTCAGGGGTAGGGAATCGTACAACAGGGGAGGAGTCAGGGGTAGGGAATCGTACAACAGGGGAGGAGTCAGGGGTAGGGATCGTACAACAGGGGAGGAGTCAGGGGTAGAGAATCGTACAACAGGGTTAGGAGTCAGGGGTAGGGAATCGTACAACAGGGGAGGAGTCAGGGGTAGGGATCGTACAACAGGGGCGGAGTCAGGGGTAGAGAATCGTACAACAGGGGAGGAGTCAGGGGTAGGGATCGTACAACAGGGGCGGAGTCAGGGGTAGGGAATCGTACAACAGGGGAGGAGTCAGGGGTAGGGAATCGTACAACAGGGGAGGAGTCAGGGGTAGGGATCGTACAACAGGGGAGGAGTCAGGGGTAGGGAATCGTACAACAGGGGAGGAGTCAGGAGTAGGGATCGTACAACAGGGGAGGAGTCAGGGGTAGGGAATCGTACAACAGGGGAGGAGTCAGGGGTAGGGATCGTACAACAGGGGAGGAGTCAGGGGTAGGGATTGTACAGACAGCCATACCTGGATTCTTGAAGGACTCCACAAGCACTTTATAATTCAGTTTATTGGAGCTCAGGCCGGCCGTCACGTCCTCGATCCTCCACAGATCCTTCTGCAGCTGCGTCCGGTCCTGAAGGACAATGAAGGGATATTGTCTGCCGTCCGTCCCGTGTAACATGTATGGAGAACATCAATCCGGAACCGACAATCTGCAGATTAATGGTCCCCCCAATGGACAGTGAATCCCTCTCCCCCATGTGACAGCTGGGAGCACAGGAGCGCGCTCCTACCCTCAGCCTGCCTCATGGCGTGATATTCTACAGCCCCGCCCCCCCCCCCCCCCCCCCATTATCACACACATCGGCAGTTGTTATTGGGGGGTCAGCTGATCACCGGTGACATCATGTGACAGCTGGGAGCACAGGAGCGCGCTCCTACCCTCAGCCTGCCTCGTGGCGTGATATTCTACAGCCCCGCCCCCCGCCCCATTATCACACACATCGGCAGTTGTTATTGGGGGGTCAGCTGATCACCGGTGACGTCATGTGACAGCTGGGAGAGTGCACAGGAGCGCGCTCCTACCTCAGCCTGCCTCGTGGCGTGATATTCTACAGCCCCGCCCCCCCCATTATCACACACATCGGCAGTTGTTATTGGGGGGTCAGCTGATCACCGGTGACGTCATGTGACAGCTGGGAGAGTGCACAGGAGCGCGCTCCTACCCTCAGCCTGCCTCGTGGCGTGATATTCTACAGCCCCCCCCCCCCATTATCACACACATCGGCAGTTGTTATTGGGGGGTCAGCTGATCACCGGTGACGTCATGTGACAGCTGGGAGAGTGCACAGGAGCGCGCTCCTACCCTCAGCCTGCCTCATGGCGTGATATTCTACAGCCCCGCCCCCCCCATTATCACACACATCGGCAGTTGTTATTGGGGGGTCAGCTGATCACCGGTGACATCATGTGACAGCTGGGAGAGTGCACAGGAGCGCGCTCCTACCCTCAGCCTGCCTCATAGCGTGATATGAGCCCCCGCCCCCCCATCCCCCATTATCACACACATCGGCAGTTGTTATTGGGGGGTCAGCTGATCACCGATGACGTCACCTGAGATGAAGGCGAGCGGTTCATCTGTTCTTGTAACATTTGTCTCAGCCTGATGACGTCGCTCTCCAGCCTCAGATATTCGTTCCACGACGACTCCATATCCTGTGCCGGGAAACAAAATTCATCGATCTGAGAAGGTGGGACTGTCTGTGCTGCCCCATAACAGCCAATCAGAATCAGCAACATGACGCCACTCCCGTCTACAGTACACAGGAACATGAATTACCGGCCAATCAGCAGAGGGCGCTCTAATACACAAAACCAACGCCTACCGTAGAGACCTTGGACATCTCCGCCCGGATCTGCACCAAATCCTCCTGCAGGAGGCGCTGCTGGTAGGAGATCTTCTCCGTGTGCTGAGGCTGCTCCTTGTACTGATCCATCTGTCTGTGCAGAACCTCCAGAACCGTCTCCAGCTTGTCCTGCAGGGAACCGGATCACATGGATGACTCACCAATGCCGAGCGTTCTGCCATATCAATGTGTATAGAAATCGATATACAGGCGGAGCTCGGAGAGCGAACTCCTCGGTTCCGGAATGTTCCGTCCACCAATGAAAATCCATTGAAAAGAACGCCTCGGTTCCGGAATGTTCCGGAACCGAGGAACATTGTTTCTTTTAACTCGGGAAACAAACTAGAAGGAAACATTGTTTTTTTATCTCGGGAAACAAACTAGAAGGAAACATTGTTTCTTTTATCTCGGGAAACAAACTAGAAGGAAACATTGTTTCTTTTATCTCGGGAAAAAAACTAAAAGGAAACATTGTTTCTTTTATCTCGGGAAACAAAAACTAGAAGGAAACATTGTTTCTTTTATCTCGGGAAACAAACTAAAAGGAAACATTGTTTCTTTTATCTCGGGAAAAAAAACTAGAGGGAAACATTGTTTCTTTTATCTCGGGGAAAAAACTAAAAGGAAACATTGTTTCTTTTATCTCGGGAAACAAACTAGAGGGAAACATTGATTCTTTTATCTCGGGAAACAAACTAAAAGGAAACATTGTTTCTTTTATCTCGGGAAACAAACTAGAGGGAAACATTGTTTCTTTTATCTCAGGAAACAAACTAAAAGGAAACATTGTTTCTTTTATCTCGGGAAACAAACTAGAAGGAAACATTGTTTCTTTTATCTCGGGAAACAAACTAGAGGGAAACATTGATTCTGTTATCTCGGGAAACAAACTAAAAGGAAACATTGTTTCTTTTATCTCGGGAAAACTAGAGAGGGAAACATTGTTTCTTTTATCTCGGGAAACAAACTAAAAGGAAACATTGTTTCTTTTATCTCGGGAAACAAACTAGAGGAAAACATTGTTTCTTTTATCTCGGGAAACAAACTAAAAGGAAACATTGTTTCTTTTATCTCGGGAAACAAACTAAAAGGAAAGATTGTTTCTTTTATCTCGGGAAACAAACTAGAGGGAAACATTGTTTCTTTTATCTCGGGAAACAAACTAAAAGAAAACATTGCGTAAAAATGAGTACATGGTTTCTTTTATCTCGGGAAACAAACTAAAAGGAAACATTGTTTCTTTTATCTCGGGAAACAAACTAAAAGAAAACATTGTTACTTTAATCTCAGGGAAACTAGAAAGAAACTTTCTTTTATCTCGGAAAACAAACTAAAAGTAAACATTGTTTCTTTTATCTCGGGGAAACTAGAAGGAAACTTTGTTTCTTTTAGCTGGGGGAAGTGACAGCTGATTCTCTGAGCGATAGTGAAGACAATAAAGCGGTAATTACATTTTTACAAACCGGCACCGACCTCTAGTGACAGCGACTTTTTTTTTTACTTTTTCTGACCGAAACGGATTAATTGGTTTTCAATGCATTCCTATGGGAAAACGCGTTTCGGTTTGCGAATTTTTCGCAATTCGAAACGTCCTGGAGAACGCATCAAATGCGTAAAACGAGGTACACCTGTATATCTATATACCGATAGAACAATGTATATACAGCTCTGTGCAAAAGTCTTAGGCAGGTGTGAACAAATGCTGGAAATCGGGGGGGGGGGGGGGGGGGGGGGGGGGGGGGGGGGGGGGAGGGGGTATTGAATTCAAATTCATGGAGTCCAGTCATGAACATTTCATCCCAGCAGAGGTCCAGGTATCATGCTTGTGCCATTACTCAGATACTTTGCATCACAGCCCCCCCTTCATTGTACCCCTTTTACAGCCCCCCTTCATTGTACCCCTTTTACAGCCCCCCTTCATTGCACCCCATTCCCCTTTTACAGCCCCCCTTCATTGCACCCCATTCCCCTTTTACAGCCCCCCCCTTCATTGCACCCCATTCCCCATTTACAGCCCCCCTTCATTGTACCCCTTTTTACAGCCCCCCTTCATTGCACCCCATTCCCCTTTTACAGCCCCCCGTTCTTGTATACTGGAGCTATTATAGCCACACAAATGTGTACAAACGTTTTTAAACAAAATGTAGAAAAGAACAAAATGGGCACATGATGCACAGGGAGGTGTCAGAGGGAGGTGTCAGTGGGAGGTGTCAGAGGGAGGTGTCAGAGGGAGGTGTCAGTGGGAGGTGTCAGTGGGAGGTGTCAGAGGGAGGTGTCAGTGGGAGGTGTCAGTGGGAGGTGTCAGAGGGAGGTGTCAGAGGGAGGTGTCAGTGGGAGGTGTCAGAGGGAGGTGTCACTGGGAGGTGTCAGTGGGAGGTGTCAGTGGGAGGTGTCAGAGGGAGGTGTCAGTGGGAGGTGTCAGAGGGAGGTGTCAGTGGGAGGTCTCAGAGGGAGGTGTCAGTGGGAGGTGTCAGTGAGAGGTGTCAGAGGGAGGTGTCAGTAGAAGGTGTCAGAGGGAGATCTGAGGGAGGTCTCAGAGGGAGGTGTCAGAGGGAGGTGTCAGAAGGAGGTGTCAGTGGGAGGTGTCAGTGGGAGGTGTCAGTGGGAGGTGTCAGAGGGTGGTGTCAGAGGGGTCTCAGAAGGAGGTGTCAGTGGGAGGTGTCAGTGGAGGTGTCAGTGGGAGGTGTCAGAGGGGTGTCAGAGGGAGGTGTCAGAAGGAGGTGTCAGTGGGAGGTGTCAGTGGGAGGTGTCAGTGGGAGGTGTCAGAGGGTGGTGTCAGAGGGAGGTGTCAGAGGGAGGTGTCAGAGGGAGGTGTCAGTGGGAGGTGTCAGAGGGAGGTGTCAGTGGGAGGTCTCAGAGGGAGGTGTCAGTGGGAGGTCTCAGAGGGAGGTGTCAGTGGGAGGTGTCAGTGAGAGGTGTCAGAGGGTGGTGTCAGAGGGAGGTGTCAGAGGGAGGTGTCAGAGGGAGGTGTCAGTGGGAGGTGTCAGAGGGAGGTGTCAGAGGGAGGTGTCAGTGGGAGGTCTCAGAGGGAGGTGTCAGTGAGAGAGGTGTCAGAGGGAGGTGGTCAGTGGAAGGTGTCAGTGGAAGGTGTCAGAGGGAGATCTCAGAGGGAGGTGTCAGTGGAGTGGAGGTGTCAGAGGGAGATCTCAGAGGGAGGTCTCAGAGGGAGGTGTCAGAGGGAGGTGGTGGGAGGTGTCAGTGGGAGGTGTCAGAGGGTGTTGTCAGAGGGAGGTCTCAGAAGGAGGTGTCAGTGGGAGGTGTCAGTGGGAGGTGTCAGAGGGTGGTGTCAGAGGGTGGTGTCAGAGGGAGGTGTCAGAGGGAGGTGTCAGAGGGAGGTGTCAGAGGGAGGTCTCAGGGGAAGTCTCAGGGGGAAGTCTCAGGGGGAAGTCTCAGGGGAAGGTCTCAGGGGAAGGTCTCAGGGGAAGGTCTCAGTGGGAGGTCTCAGAGGGAGGTCTCAGTGGTTGGAACGAACCGGGACCCTCGATATTATAGATATGACGCAGGAAAGGGGCCAATCCCACCTTACAGCAGGTAGAAGACACGGAATGTCCGGACGGAGGGCGGGATCTGCCCAGCTTTCCATGTTAACAGGCAGCGGATTGGTTGCTAGGGCCACCCTGCATCCTAGCAACAAATCACCGGCTTGTTCACTTGAAAAGTTAGGGCAGCTCCCGCCCTCTGTCCGGACATTCCGCGCCTTCTACCTGCTGTCTGGATGAATGCTGCGGTGGTGGAAGGAGGATATCAGTCGGGGGGGGGGGGGGGGGGGGGGGGGGACACCAAGCAGCGGAGCTGCGGTCCAAACAGGATTGTCGTTTGGTCCGTGTCTGGACCGCGGTCCGCCACTTAGTGATTCTGTAAATGAAGAACAACCTACCTTCCGAGTTCCTTCACTGTGCTGAAGTCTACCTGGACGCAGGGGTGTCACACTGCCGGCCCTCCAGATGTTGCAGAACTACAAGTCCCATCATGCCTCTGCCTCTGGGAGTCATGCTTGGAACGGTCAGTCTTGCAAGGCCTCATGGGACTTGTAGTTTGGGAACAGCTGGAGGGCCGGCAGTGACCCCCGTGACCTAGAGGAAGGCAAAGGGTGTCACCCCGAATATTGATGGGTTCGGATTTCTCTTCATTTACAGCATTTTGTCCCGCCTGCCTAAGACTTTCGCACAGTCCCGTATATCCGGGGAGGGATGATGTCACCTCCTCGCTGACAACTCACCTTGTTGTCCTTCAGAGCCCGAATCTTGTCCTCCAGATCCTGCAGAACCCGGTCCTGTTCACACAGAATGCTGAGCTTCACCTGGGCGGGGACAAGACGGGGGAGGGGTCACTGGGGGAGGGGCATATATAGGAAGCACAATACCGAATACAACGCCACACACCTGACACTCCGCGCAATGCCATACACCTGACACTCCATACAACGCCACACACCTGACACTCCGCGCAACGCCACACACACCTGACACTCCGCGCAACGCCACACACCTGACACTCCGCGCAACGCCACACACCTGACACTCCGCACAACGCCACACACCTGACACTCCATGCAACGCCACACACCTGACACTCCATGCAACGCCACACACCTGACACTCCATGCAACGCCACACACCTGACACTCCGCGCAATCCCATACACCTGACACTCCATGCAACGCCACACACCTGACACTGACACTCCGCGCAATCCCATACACCTGACACTCCGCGCAACGCCACACACCTGACACTCCGCAATGCCACACACCTGCGCAATGCCCACACACCTGACACTCCATGCAACGCCACACACCTGACACTCCGAACGCCACACACCTGACACTATACTCCATGCAATGCCACACACCTGACACTATACTCCATGCAATGCCACACACCTGACACTATACTCCATGCAACGCCACACACCTGACACTACCGCGCAACGCCACACACCACCTGACACTCCGCGCAACGCCACACACCTGACACTCCGCGCAACGCCACACACACCTGACAGTCCCGCGCAACGCCACACACCTGACACTCCATACAATGCCATACACCTGACACTCCATACAATGCAACATACACCTGACACTCCGCGCAATCCCATACACCTGACACTCCGCGCAATCCAATACACCTGACACTCCATACAATCCCATACACCTGACACTCCATACAATCCCATACACCTGACACTCCGTACAATCCCATACACCTGACACTCCATACAATGCCATACACCTGACACTCCATACAATCCCATACACCTGACACTCCATACAATCCCATACACCTGACACTCCATACAATGCCACACACCTGACACTCCATACAATGCCACACACCTGACACTCCATACAATGCCACACACCTGACACTCCATACAATGCCACACACACTGACACTCCATACAATGCCATACACCTGACACTCCGTGCAATCCCATACACCTGACACTCTGTACAATCCCATACACCTGACACTCCATACAATCCCATACACCTGACACTCCATACAATCCCATACACCTGACACTCCATACAATCCCATACACCTGACACTCCATACAATCCCATACACCTGACACTCCATACAATCCCATACACCTGACACTCCATGCAATCCCATACACCTGACACTCCATACAATGCCATACACCTGACACTCCATACAATGCCATACACCTGACACTCCATACAATGCCATACACCTGACACTCCATACAATGCCATACACCTGACACTCCATACAATCCCATACACCTGACACTCCATACAATCCCATACACCTGACACTCCATACAATCCCATACACCTGACACTCCATACAATGCCATACACCTGACACTCCATACAATGCCATACACCTGACACTCTGTACAATCCCATACACCTGACACTCCGCGCAATCCCATACACCTGACACTCCATACAATCCCATACACCTGACACTCCATACAATGCCATACACCTGACACTCTGTACAATCCATACACCTGACACTCCATACAATGCCACACCTGACACTCTGTACAATCCCATACACCTGACACTCTGTACAATCCCATACACCTGACACTACACAGTGGTCTCTCTGCAGAGGTCACCCCCCCCTGATGAGTTACACCTATGGATCTGCAGGCACATGAGGTCATGCTGCAAGCTGATTGGCTGTTCTGGCTGTGGTGGGTTGGACCTCTGCAGAGAGACTACGGCTTCCACACAGAAAGTCAACTAAATTCTCAATGAGAAGAGAGGAGATGAATATTGAGGAAATCCTCCACTTACATCAACGTCACTTTCTGCAATTCTGACCGGCTTGGAGGAGCGATCCTTCAGAGATTCTCTTCCCGCCACCTGAGGATGATGATAGAACAGTGGGGTTATGACGGAAATGTGGCGCCTGCACTGACAGCGATGTGCCCATACACTGCGAAGCCGTAGCACATGCAGGAGGACCGCACTCTCGGGTGACAAGTCTTGGTAACATCGTTCCTCAGCACCAACAAGACACAGAGTTCTCCATTATTATCCGCACTCTGCTCTCTCCTCCAATCCGCACCACCGACCAATGAGGAAGTGTGAGGAGGAGCCAATCCGCCCCACAGTCACCTCTCTACATGGAAACACTCCGCCCTACACTGGCAAAATCCATCCGGAGGGGAGGGGGAGGGGTCAGGTACTCCCCAGGGCCAGCCAATAGCATCACAAAACCCAACCAGACCTGACTTGTCCTCAATTTGTGGATTGTATTCCCTCCCGGCATCATGCTGGAGGTCTGGACTGGAGTCCTAGGGGCAGCCCGGGAGGAGCGGGGTACATATTACCATAGCAGCCCATGCGTCTACTATGGGGCCCTGAGGTAGGAGGGGGCCCATCAAGGAGGATGCTTCCAGTATGGAAGGGATGAGGTCGCTCAGGATCCTCATTGGTCGCAGGTCCCCCCTGTGCAGGAAGGATGGAAATGTTCCTAATATCACCCCACCTATTCCTCCTGTCCTCAGCACTGCCCCCCACTGGTGACGTTTCCCAATGACAATTCTTATAGCTAGACTCCCTTCTATGCAATTCCCGTGTGGCTGCGTTTGCGTCATGTCAGGGATCCCACTGCTTGGGGGTGTCATGAAGAACCCCGGGGCCCCTCCCCTCACACGTTTGATAAACAGCGGCTTGTTTTTTGCTGTTATGGCGGGAATGTGTGCGATTTACACACCCCCCCCCCCCCCCCCCCGCATAGATGTGAATCCCGATAGTAAAGGAATTCATTGTTACAATAAGATGTCACTGCCGGCGGCTCACCAAGGGGGGCTCATCTGAGATCTACTATGGGGTCCCGTGATTCATAATTAAGCCCCTGCTCAGGGAAGTCATTCTATCTATACCTACAGGGGGGGGGGCATGGTGAACCTCAGGGGACGGACAACCTGACCCCAGGTAAAGGGATAAAAACCCGTCCTGTCTGCCCCAATCAGCAACAAGAAGTCATATAAATCTAAACTAATAGAGAAGATGAGATCACAGCGTACTCTATATAATATCATATTGTTACATTGTACTTTATATATTGGACTGGGAGGTGGGGGGGCATCATTGATGGAGGTGGGGGAGGGAAAGCTCATTGATGGAGGTGGGGGGAGGGAGGCTCATTGATGGAGGTGGGGGAGGGAGGCTCATTGATGGAGGTGGGGAGGGAAAGCTCATTGATGGAGGTTGGTGGGGGGAAGACTCACTGATGGAGGTGGGGAGGGAAGGCTCATTGATGGAGATGGGGGGAAGACTCATTGATGGAGGTGGGGGGAAGACTCATTGATGGAGGTGGGGGGAAGACTCATTGATGGAGGTGGGGGGAAGACTCATTGATGGAGGTGGGGGGGAGGCTCGTTGATAGAGGTGGATAGAGGTGGGGGGGAAGACTCATTGATGGAGGTGGGGGGAGGCTCATTGATGGAGGTGGGGGGGGGGGCTCATTGATGGAGGTGAGGAGGGCAAGGCTCATTGATGGAGGTGGGGGGGGGCTCATTGATGGAGGTGAGGAGGGAAGGCTCATTGATGGAGGTGGGTGGGGGGGGCTCATTGATGGAGGTGAGGAGGGAAGGCTCATTGATGGAGGTGGTGGGGGAGGTGCATTGATGGAGGTGAGGAGGGAAGGCTCATTGATGGAGCTGGGGGGGAGGTGCACTGATGGAGGTGGGGAGGGAAGGCTCATTGATGGAGGTTGGGGGGGGGGGGGGTCATTGATGGAGGTTGGGGGGGGTCATTGATGGAGCTGGAGGCACATTGATTGAGGCTGATGGAGGTGGGGGGTGGAGGCTCATTGATGGAGGTGAGGGGTGGAGGCTTAATGATGAAGGTGGGGGGTGGAGGCTCATTGATGGAGGTGGGGGGCTCATTGATGGAGGTGGGGGGTGGAGGCTCATTGATGGAGGTGGGGGGTGGAGGCTCATTGATGGAGGTGGGGGGTGGAGGCTCAATGATGGAGGTGGGGGGGTGGAGGCTCATTGATGGAGGTGGGGGGTGGAGGCTCATTGATGGAGGTGGGGGGTGGAGGCTTATTGATGGAGGTGAGGAGGGAAGGCTCATTGATGGAGCTGGGGGGGAGGTGCACTGATGGAGGTGGGGAGGGAAGGCTCATTGATGGAGGTTGGGGGGGGGGTCATTGATGGAGGTTGGGGGGGGTCATTGATGGAGCTGGAGGCTCATTGATGGAGGGAGGGGGGTGGAGGCTCACTGATGGAGGTGAGGGGTGGAGGCTCATTGATGGAGGGGGGGTGGAGGCTCATTGATGGAGGTGGGGGGGGGAGGCTCATTGATGGAGGTGGGGGTGGAGGCTGAGGGGTGGAGTGGAGGCTCATTGATGGAGGTGGGGGGTGGAGGCTCATTGATGGAGGTGGGGGTGGAGGCTCATTGATGGAGGTGGGGGGTGGAGGCTCATTGATGGAGTGGTCATTGATGGGGTGGGGGGGGTGGAGGCTCATTGATGGAGGTGGGGGGTGGAGGCTCATTGATGGAGGTGGGGGGTGGAGGCTCATTGATGGAGGTGGGGGGTGGAGGCTGGCCCATGTAGTCTGACCCAATAGAAGAGCTAATACTATATGGAGTACAATGTCTCAATATATTGTTACATTGTAGATTATAGAACGTTATAATATATTCTTGGACTTCCTGTGAAGGTCAGAGGTCGGTTGTTTTCCTGATAATCATGCCAAGGAACTCTTCTTTCCGTGTCACCGTCATGCTACCAAGCCCTTGTCACAGAGCTGACACTCTACACAGAATACACTGAACACAATGATGTTTATTAGCAGGCAGACTGAATGCAATCGCAAGCCAAAAATTATATCTAGAGGAACAAAAAAAAACCAAAAACACGACAACCAGAAATGATAAAACCTATGAGAAGCGAGTCTATGACATCAGCGGTAAGTCTATGACATCAGCGGTAAGTCTATGACATCAGCGGTAAGTCTATGACATCAGCACCTGACTAGCGGCGTGCCGCGCACAAAGCCATGGAATGGGCGCAGCGGCGCTACAGGCGGCTTACGTTAATGCTCGTTCGGTACCCCGGGGTGGAGTTCCGGAGAACACTGTGAACAAGTTGATCAGAGGCTCATTATATTTTATCTGTTCCAAATTAAAAGTTAAATGTTACGTGAATCCGACAGATCAGGAGAGAGCCAAAGTCTGCGCTGCCCAGAGACCCCCAAATCTGACCGAGGACACCCCCAAATCCTCAGGACTCACCGGGAAATACGGGGGACAGGTACCCAGAGATGTGAGGAGCAGCCAGACCCCATCCCCCCCCCAAAGGTCCTCACACTACTGTATGTAACCACCAGGTGTCGGGGTGTCATTGTTCTGGGACCCCCCAAGTGTCAGGTTGTCATTGTTTCTGGGACCCCCAAGTGTCAGGGTGTCATTGTTCTGGACCTCCAAGTGTCAGGGGTGTCATTGTTCTGGGTCCCCCAAGTGTCAGGGGTGTCATTGTTCTGGACCCCCAAGTGTCAGGGTGTCATTGTTCTGGACCCCCAAGTGTCAGGGTGTCATTGTTCTGGGATCCCCAAGTGTCAGGTTGTCATTGTTAGTGGACCCCCAAGTGTCAGGGTGTCATTGTTCTGGACCTCCCAAGTGTCAGGGTGTCATTGTTCTTGGACCCCCAAGTGTCAGGGTGTCATTGTTATTGGACCCCAAGTGTCAGGGTGTCATTGTTATTGGACCCCCAAGTGTCAGGGTGTCATTGTTTCTGGACCCCAAGTGTCAGGGTGTCATTGTTCTTGGACCCCCCAAGTGTCAGGGTGTCATTGTTATTGGACCCCCAAGTGTCAGGGTGTCATTGTTATTGGACCCCCAAGTGTCAGGGTGTCATTGTTCTGGACCCCCAAGTGTCAGTGTGTCATTGTTCTGGGACCCCCAAGTGTCAGGGTGTCATTGTTCTGGACCCCCAGTGTCAGTGTGTCATTGTTCTGGGATCCCCCAAGTGTCAGGGTGTCATTGTTCTGGGACCCCCAAGTGTCAGTGTGTCATTGTTCTGGGACCCCCAAGTGTCAGTGTGTCATTGTTCTGGACCCCCAAGTGTCAGGATGTCATTGTTCTGGACCCCCAAGTGTCAGGTGTCATTGTTCTGGGACCCCCAAGTGTCAGGTGTCATTGTTCTGGGACCCCCAAGTGTCAGTGTGTCATTGTTCTGGACCCCCAAGTGTCAGGATGTCATTGTTCTGGACCCCAAGTGTCAGGGTGTCATTGTTCTGCACCCCCAAGTGTCAGGGTGTCATTGTTCTGGACCCCCAAGTGTCAGGTGTCATTCATTGTTCTGGGACCCCCAAGTGTCAGGGTGTCATTGTTCTGGACCCCCAAGTGTTAGTGTGTAATTGTTCTGAACCCCCAAGTGTCAGGGTGTCATTGTTCTGGGCCCCCCAAGTGTCAGGATGTCATTGTTCTGGACCCCCAAGTGTCAGGATGTCATTGTTCTGGACCCCAAGTGTCAGGGTGTCATTGTTCTGGACCCCCAAGTGTCAGGGTGTCATTGTTATTGGACCCCCAAGTGTCAGGGTGTCATTGTTATTGGACCCCCAAGTGTCAGGGTGTCATTGTTCTGGACCCCCAAGTGTCAGTGTGTCATTGTTCTGGGACCCCCAAGTGTCAGGGTGTCATTGTTCTGGACCCCCAAGTGTCAGTGTGTCATTGTTCTGGGATCCCCAAGTGTCAGGGTGTCATTGTTCTGGGACCCCAAGTGTCAGTGTGTCATTGTTCTGGGACCCCCAAGTGTCAGTGTGTCATTGTTCTGGACCCCCAAGTGTCAGGATGTCATTGTTCTGGACCCCCAAGTGTCAGGATGTCATTGTTCTGGGACCCCCAAGTGTCAGTGTGTCATTGTTCTGGGACCCCCCAAGTGTCAGTGTGTCATTGTTCTGGACCCCCAAGTGTCAGGATGTCATTGTTCTGCACCCCCAAGTGTCAGGTGTCATTGTTCTGCACCCCCAAGTGTCAGGGTGTCATTGTTCTGGACCCCCAAGTGTCAGGGTGTCATTGTTCTGGGACCCCCAAGTGTCAGGGTGTCATTGTTCTGGACCCCCAAGTGTTAGTGTGTAATTGTTCTGAACCCCCAAGTGTCAGGGTGTCATTGTTCTGGGCCCCCAAGTGTCAGGATGTCATTGTTCTGGACCCCCAAGTGTCAGGATGTCATTGTTCTGGACCCCCAAGTGTCAGGTGTCATTGTTCTGGGACCCCCCCAGTGTCAGGGTGTCATTGTTCTGGACCCCCAGTGTCAGGATGTCATTGTTCTGGGTCCCCCAAGTGTCAGGGTGTCATTGTTCTGGGACCCCCAAGTGTCAGGGTGTCATTGTTCTGGGACCCCCAAGTGTCAGGGTGTCATTGTCTGCACCCCCAAGTGTCAGGGTGTCATTGTTCTGGACCCCCAAGTGTCAGGGTGTCATTGTTCTGGACCCCCAAGTGTCAGGATGTCATTGTTCTGGACCCCCAAGTGTCAGGGTGTCATTGTTCTGGGACCCCCAAGTGGTCAGGGTGTCATTGTTCTGGACCCCCAAGTGTCAGGGTGTCATTGTTCTGCACCCCCAAGTGTCAGGTGTCATTGTTCTGGACCCCCAAGTGTCAGGGTGTCATTGTTCTGGACCCCCAAGTGTCAGGGTGTCATTGTTCTGGACCCCCAAGTGTCAGGATGTCATTGTTCTGGACCCCCAAGTGTCAGGATGTCATTGTTCTGGACCCCCAAGTGGTAGGGTGTCATTGTTCTGGACCCCCAAGTGTCAGGATGTCATTGTTCTGGGTCCCCAAGTGTCAGGGTGACATTGTTCTGGGACCCCCAAGTGTCAGGGTGTCATTGTTCTAGAACCCCATTAGGTGTCAGGGTGTCATTGTTCTGGACCCCCAGGTGTCAGGGGTGTCATTGTTCTGGACCCCCAGGTGTCAGGGTGTCATTGTTCTGGACCCCCAGGTGTCAGGGTGTCATTGTTCTAGGACCCCCAGGTGTCGGGTGTCATGTCATGGGACCCCCAGGTGTCAGGGTGTCATTGTTCTGGACCCCCAGTGTCAGGGTGTCATTGTTCTGGACCCCCAGGTGTCAGGGTGTCATTGTTCTGGACCCCCAGGTGTCAGGGTGTCATTGTTCTGGGGTCATCTACCACTTTGGACAGAGTTAGGCTGTAGAGGGTTCTGGTCTCTCATTATACACACTTCTCTTCCCAGAATCCTTCACTCTACATGGGGCCCCTACATCAGCCTTGTCAGGGCCCCCAGACGGTGTCACAAGGCTGCACATTGATCAGAATCTGATGAAGATACGAGATATGAGGACTTACCTTGAGGTCTAAGTACTCCAACTCCTTCTTCAGCTGAATATACGTATCATCCGCCTCCGAGAAAAGACAAGACGTTACACAGAGAACACAGACGGGGCCCCAATCTACGTGCCTGGGGGGCCAGCTACACACTACACAGATATACTGCAGACCACGGAGATATATATATATACACGGCATCTGTATACTGACATCTAAACGTATGGACCATAGTGGATTCATGTCTATACACAACCATCAGCCAAAACATTATGACCACCCACCCAACATTGAGTAGGTCCCCCTTTTGGTCAGCCCTGACCACCGACTGACCACCGAAGTGTGACCTTCCAAGTATCATCCACAGGGTGGAGGAGCCGAGGTGTGACCTTCAAGGTATCATCCACAGGATGGAGGAGCCAAGGATTGACCTTCAAGGTATCATCCACAGGGTGGAGGAGCCAAGGTGTGACCTTCCAGGTATCATCCACAGGGTGGAGGAGCCGAGGTGTGACCTTCAAGGTATCATCCACAGGGTGGAGGAGCCGAGGTGTGACCTTAAAGGTATCATCCACAGGGTGGAGGAGCCTTCAAGAGGTGTGACCTTCAAGGTATCATCCACAGGGTGGAGGAGCCGAGGTGTGACCTTGGAAAGGTATCATCCACAGGGTGGAGGAGCTGAGGTGTGACCTTCAAGGTATCATCCACAGGGTGGAGGAGCTGAGGTGTGACCTTCAAGGTATCATCCACAGGATGGCTGAGGAGCCAAGGATTGACCTTCAAGGTATCATCCACAGGATGGAGGAGCCGAGGTGTGACCTTCAAGGTATCATCCACAGGATGGAGGAGCCGAGGTGTGACCTTCAAGGTATCATCCACAGGATGGAGGAGCCAAGGATTGACCTTCAAGGTATCATCCACAGGGTGGAGGAGCTGAGGTGTGACCTTCAAGGTATCATCCACAGGATGGAGGAGCCAAGGATTGACCTTCAAGGTATCATCCACAGGATGGAGGAGCCGAGGAGTGACCTTCAAGGTATCATCCACAGGATGGAGGAGCCGAGGTGTGACCTTCAAGGTATCATCCACAGGATGGAGAGCCGAGGAGTGACCTTCAAGGTATCATCCACAGGATGGAGGAGCCGAGGTGTGACTTCAAGGTATCATCCACAGGATGGAGGAGCCGAAGTGACCCAGCAGAAAATCACCCGAAGCATCACACGGCCTCCGCTGGCTCGACTTCTTCCCATACTGCATCCTGGTACCTCCTCTTCCACAGATAAATGACACACACCCACCCCGCCATCCACATTATGGAAAACGCCATTCCTCCAACCAGGACACCTTCTTCCATGGCTCCGTGGTCCAAAACTGATCTCACGTTCCCAGTGCAGCCCCATACACAGCAAACTGCGATGCTCTGCGTGTTCTGACACCTTCTGATCTGATCTCCAATATCTCTTCTATTGGATCAAACTACAAGAAACAGTCTTCCCCCCACCTCCATCTATGAGCCTTCCCTCCCCCCCACCTCCATCAATGAGCCTCCCCCACCTCCATCAATGAGCCTCCCCCACCTCCATCAATGAGCCTTCTCTCCCCACCTCCATCTATGAGCCTTCCCTCCCCACCTCCATCAATGAGCCTCCCCCACCTCCATCAATGAGCCTTCCCTCCCCCACCTCCATCAATGAGCCTTCCCTCCCCCACCACCTCCATCAATGAGCCTTCCCTCCCCCACCTCCATCAATGAGCCATCCCCTCCCCCACCTTCCATCAATGAGCCTTCCCACCCCCACCTCCATCAATGAGCCTTCCCTCCCCCACCTCCATCAATGAGCCTTCCCTCCCCCACCTCCATCAATGAGCCTTCCCTCCCCCACCTCCATCAAAGAGCCTTCCCTCCCCCCACCTCTATCAATGAGCCTTACCTCTATCAATGAGCCTTCCCCCCCCTACCTCCATCAATGAGCCTCCCCCATCTTCCTCAATGAGCCTTCCCTCCCCCCTACTTCCATCAATGAGCTTCCTGCACCTCCATCAATGAGCCTTCCCTCCGCCCTACCTCCATCAATGAGCTTCCTGCACCTCCATCAATGAGCCTTCCCTCCCCCTACCTCCATCAATGAGCCTCCCCCCACCTCCATCAATGAGCCTTCCCTCCCTCCCCACCTCCATCAATGAGCCTTCCCTCCACCCTACCTGCAGGAATGAGCCTTCCTCACCTCCATCAATGAGCCTTCCCCCCCCCCTACCTCCATCAATGAGCCTTCCGTCCCCACCTCCATCAATGAGCCTTCCGTCCCCCCCCCACCTTCATCAATGATCCTTCCATCCCCCCCCACCTCCATCAATAATCCTTCCCTCCCCCCCCCCCACCTCTATCAATGAGTCTTCCCTCCCCACCTCCATCAATGAGACTTCCCCCCCCACCTTCATCAATAGGCCTTGGACCCCGACCTCCATCAATAAGTCTTCCCCTCACCTCCAACAATGAACCTTGGTCGCCCATGACCCTGTCACTGGTTGGATTTCCTTCCTTAGACCACTTTTGGTTGGTCCTGACCACTGCAGACTGGGGAACATCCCACAAGGGCTGCAGTATTGAAGTTGCTCTGACCGTCATCTACACATCACATGGTGGTCCTTGTCAGAGTCCCTCCAATACTTACACTTTGTCTGCTTTCAACAGGTCGACTTCAGGGATAACATGTTCACTTCCTGCCTGATATACCCCGCCCACTTCTAGATGTCCTAATATATCCCGCCCACTTCCAGATGTCCTAACATACCCCGCCCACTTCTAGATGTCCTAATATATCCTGCCCACTTCCAGGTGTCCTAATATATCCCGCCCATAGACGTCCTAATATACCCCGCCCACTTCCAGGTGTCCTAATATATCCCGCCCACTTCTAGATGTCCTAATATATCCCGCCCACTTCCAGACGTCCTAATATACCCCGCCCACTTCCAGATGTCCTAATATATCCCGCCCACTTCCAGATGTCCTAATATATACCCTGCCCACTTCCAGATGTCCTAATATACCCCGCCCACTTCCAGATGTCCTAATATACCCCGCCCACTTCCAGATGTCCTAATATACCCTGCCCACTTCCAGATGTCCTAATATACCCCGCCCACTTCCAGATGTCCTATATACCCCACCCACTTCCAGATGTCCTAATATACCCCACCCACTTCCAGATGTCCTTATATACCCCGCCCACTTCCAGATGTCCTAATATATCCCCACCCACTTCCAGATGTCCTAATATACCCCGCCCACTTCCAGATGTCCTAATATATCCCGCCCACTTCCAGATGTCCTAATATATCCCGCCCACTTCCAGATGTCCTAATATACCCCGCCCACTTCCAGATGTCCTAATATATCCCGCCCACTTCCAGATGTCCTAATATATCCCGCCCACTTCCAGATGTCCTAATATACCCCCCCCACTTCCAGATGTCCTAATATACCCCGCCCACTTCCAGATGTTCTAATATACCCCCGCCCACTTCCAGATGTCCTAATATATCCCGCCCACTTCCAGATGTCCTAATATACCCCGCCCACTTCCAGATGTCCTATATACCCCACCCACTTCCAGATGTCCTAAATATACCCCACCCACTTCCAGATGTCCTTATATGCCCCGCCCACTTCCAGATGTCCTATATACCCCACCCACTTCCAGATGTCCTAATATATCCCGCCCACTTCCAGATGTCCTAATATACCCCGCCCACTTCCAGATGTCCTAATATATCCCGCCCACTTCCAGACGTCCTAATATATCCCGCCCCTTCTAGATGTCCTAATATATCCTGCCCCTTCTAGATGTCCTTATATGCCCCGCCCACCTTCAGATGCCAAAGTAATGAGATAATCCACATTATTAACTTTACCTGTCAGTGGTCATAATGTTATGGCTGATTGCTGTATATAGAGGGGGGAGGGGTGTACGGTATATACATTGTATACAGGGGGGAGGGGTGTACGGTATATACATTGTATACAGGGGGGGGGTGTACGGAGGGGGTGTACGGTATATACATTGTATACAGGGGGGAGGGGTGTACGGTATATACATTGTATACAGGGGGGAGGGGTGAGGGGGGAGGTGTACGGTATATACATTGTATACAGGGGGGAGGGGTGTACGGTATATACATTGTATACAGGGGGAGGAGGGGTGTACAGTATATTGTATACGGGGGGAGGGGTGTACGGTATATACATTGTATACAGGGGGGGAGGGGGAGGGGTGTACGGTATATACATTGTATACAGGGGGGAGGGGTGTACGGTATATACATTGTATACAGGGGGGAGGGGGGTGTACGGTATATACATTGTATACAGGGGGGAGGGGGACAGGGGGGGAGGGGTGTACGGTATATACATTGTATACAGGGGGGAGGGGGAGGGGTGTACGGTATATACATTGTATACAGGGGGGAGGGGGAGGGGTGTACGGTATATACATTGTATACAGGGGGGAGGGGGGGGGGGTGTACGGTATATACATTGTATACAGGGGGGGGGGAGGGGTGTACGGTATATACATTGTATACAGGGGGGAGGGGGAGGGGTGTACGGTATATACATTGTATACAGGGGGGAGGGGAGGGGTGTACGGTATATACATTGTATACAGGGGGGAGGGGGAGGGGGTGTACGGTATATACATTGTATACAGGGGGGAGGGGGAGGGGTGTACGGTATATACATTGTATACAGGGGGGAGGGGGGAGGGGTGTACAGTATATACGGGGGGAGGGGTGTACGGTATATACATTGTATAACAGGGGGGAGGGGGAGGGGTGTACGGTATATACATTGTATACAGGGGGGAGGGGTGTACGGGGTGTACATATATTCCTCTATACAGGGGGGACATTGTATAATATATACATTGAACAGAGGGGGAGGTGACGGTATATACATGCAGCACAGATGGGGAAGTCGCAGAGGATGCCATGTAATACCAGCATACAGGGGGGAAAACGTGGGAGAGATGTGGGAGAGAGGGGGATGACGGAAGTATGGGGGAGGGGGGGGGGGACGACGGAATACATGGTATACAGGGGAGGAGGGACGACGGAAGATGGCGGGAGGGGGTGACGGAAGATGGCGGGAGGAGGGACGTACGGAAGATGTATACAGGGGGGATGGGTGTACGGATATACATTGTAACAGATGGGGGAGGAGGGACGGTATATACGTAACAGGGGGCGGGGAGGGGTGTACGGTAATACATTGCGGGACGACGGAAGATGGCGGGACGACGGAAGATGGCGGGAGGGGGACGACGGAAGATGGCGGGACGACGGAAGATGGGTGGGACGACATTGTATAGATGGCGGGAGGGGGACGACGGTAAGATGGCGGGACGACAGAAGATGGCGGGAGGAGGGGACGACGGAAGATGGCGGGAGAGGGAGGGACGACGGAAGATGGCGGGACGACGGAAGATGGCGGGACGACGGAAGATGGCGGGAGGGGTGGGACGACATTGAAGATGGCGGGAGGAGGGGGACGACGAACAATTGATGGCGGGACGACGGAAGATGGCGGGGAGGTAGGGAGGGACGACGGAAGATGGCGGACAGGGGGAGACGGAATAAGATGGGGGGAGGGGTGTAGGTATAGGGATGTAAGGAAGATGGGGAGGACGGGATGACAGGAAGATGGCGGGAGGAGGGACGACGGAATAATGGCGAACAGGAGGGACGACGGAAGATGGCGGGACGACGGACAGAGGCGGGAGGAGGGACGACGGAAGATGGCGGGAGGACGACGGAAGATGGCGGGAGGAGGGACGACGGAAGATGGCGGGAGGAGGGACGACGGAAGATGGCGGGAGGAGGGACGACGGAAGATGGCGGGAGGAGGGACGACGGAAGATGGCGGGAGGAGGGACGACGGAAGATGGCGGGAGGAGGGACGACGGAAGATGGCGGGACGAGGGACGACGGAAGATGGCGGGACGACGGAAGATGGCGGGAGGAGGGACGACGGAAGATGGCGGGACGACGGAAGATGGCGGGAGGAGGGACGACGGAAGATGGCGGGAGGAGGGACGACGGAAGATGGCGGGAGGAGGGACGACGGAAGATGGCGGGGAGGGACGACGGAAGATGGCGGGAGGAGGGACGACGGAAGATGGCGGGACGACGGAAGATGGCGGGAGGAGGGACGACGGAAGATGGCGGGACGACGGAAGATGGCGGGACGACGGAAGATGGCGGGAGGAGGGACGACGGAAGATGGCGGGAGGAGGGACGACGGAAGATGGCGGGAGGAGGGATGACGGAAGATGGCGGGAGGAGGGATGACACGGAAGATGGCGGGAGGAGGGATGACGGAAGATGGCGGGAGGAGGGGATGACATTAGATGGCGGGAGGAGGGATGACGGAAGATGGTGGGATGGAGGGACAATGGAAGATGGCGGGAGGAGGGATGACATTAGATGGCGGGAGGCGGGATGACGGAAGATGGCGGGAGGAGACGTTAGATGGCGCGGGATGATGACATTAGATGGCGGGATGACGTTAGATGGCGGATGACGTTAGATGGCGGGAGGCAGGATGATGGAAGATGGCCAAATGATGGCAGGAGGCGGGATGAGGGAAGATGGCGGGATGACGTTAGATGGCGGGATGACGTTAGATGGCGGGATGACGTTAGATGGCGGGATGACGTTAGATGGCAGGATGGCAGGATGATGGAAGATGGCCATTGATGGCAGGGAGGCGGGATGAGGGAAGATGGCATGATGACGGAAGATGGCCGAATGATGGCAGGAGGCGGGATGAGGGAAGATGGCGGGGTGACGTTAGATGGCGGGATGACGTTAGATGGGAGGAGGCAGGATGATGATGGAAGATGGCATGATGACGGAAGATGGCCGAATGATGGCAGGAGGCGGGATGAGGGAAGATGGCAGGGGTGACGTTAGATGGCAGGAGGCAGATGAGGGAAGATGGCAGTTCCTCTAGTACAGAGGGGTGCACAGCTGATTACTCCACCAAAAGAGAAAATCATCCTTCACAACCAATAGCTCTCAGTTTTCTGTCCAAAGGGCAGCAGTGACTTCTGATTGGTTGATAAGGATTACTGCACACCTCTTGTGGGGGCGCCCCCCATTGCCCCCATTGCTGAGGTGGAGGATGTGACGCAATGACAGATGCGGCTGAAGTGTGACCAATCGCTGACAAACCGTCTCCTCTCCCTCCAATCAGATCTGTCAGCTCCAAAATATATTTCCCCTAGAGATTCCCAGACAGACCATCGGGGGGCAGCAGAGAGGTCACAGGGCAGGACCATTGTAACAGAAAGTCACATATAGATACTTCATTATCTGGGGGACAACCTGTCACATGACTAGTAATTATTATTCACATGTTGGAGGGGGGGGGGGGGTCACATGACTAGTAACGGATTGGAGGATGGGATCACATGACTAGGAATGATTGGAGGAGGAAGGGTCACATGACTAGTAATGATTGGAGGAGGGGGGGGGGGGTCACATGACTAGTAACGATTGGAGGAGGGGGGGTCACATGACTAGTAATGATTGGAGGAGGGGGGGTGTCACATGACTAGTAACGATTGGAGGAGTGGGGGGGGGTTGGGGGTTCACATAGCTGATTGGAATGATTAGGGGATTGGGGGGGGGGGGGTCACATGACTAGGAATGATTGGGGGGGGGGGGGGGGGTCACATGACTAGTACTGATTGGAGGAGGGGGGGTGTTCACATGACTAGTACTGATTGGAGAGTTGGGGGGGGGGGTGTCACATGACTAGGAATGATTGGGGGGGTCACATGACTAGTACTGATTGGAGGAGGGGGGTCACGTGACTAGTAATGATTGGAGGAGGAGGGGTTCACATGACTAGGAATGATTGGAGGAGGGGGGGTCACATGACTAGTACTGATTGCAGGAGGGGGGGTTCACATGACTAGTAATGATGATTGGAGGGGGGGGGTTGACATGACTAGGAATGATTGGAGGAGGGGGGGGGTCACATGACTAGTACTGATTGGAGGAGGGGGGGTGTCACATGACTAGTAATGATTGGGAGGGGGGGGTCACATGACTAGTAGTGATTGAGGAGGGGGGGGGGTCACATGACTAGTAGTGATTGGAGGGGGGGGTCACATGACTAGTAATGATTGGAGGGGGGGTGTCACATGACTAGTAATGATTGGAGGGGGGGGCGTCACATGACTAGTAGTGATTGGAGGGGGGGGTCACATGACTAGTAATGATTGGGGGGGGGGGGTCACATGACTAGTAATGATTGGAGGAGGGGGGGTCACATGACTAGTAATGATTGGAGGAGGGGGGGGGTCACATGACTAGTAATGATTGGAGGGGGGGGTCACATGACTAGTACTGATTGGGGGGGGGTCACATGACTAGTACTGATTGGGGGGGGGGGGTGTCACATGACTAGTGGTGATTGGAGGGGGGGGGGGCGTCACACATGGACTAGTAGTGATTGGAGGGGGGGGTCACATGACTAGTGGTGATTGGAGGGTCACTCCACCCAGAAATCCGAACCACTGATGACAATATGAATAACATGAATTTTCCTGGAAGACTCCAATGGTGATCTCCTACTGGGGGAAACCTCCCCATTGTGGGAGGGGCAGAGACACAATCTACTGGAGGAGGAATCTCCTCATTGTGGGAGGGGCAAAGACACAACCTACTGGGGGGGACTCTCCCCATCGTGGGAGGGGCAGAGACACAACCTACTCGGGGGACTCTCCCCATCGTGGGAGGGGGCGGTCAGAGACACAAACCTACTCGGGGGGAATCTCCCCATTGTGGGAGGGGCAGAGGACACAACCTACTGGGAGAGGGATCTCCCTATTGCGGGAGGGGCAGGGACACAACCTGCTGGGGGGACTCTCCCCATCATGGGAGGGGCAGAGACACAACCTGACTGGGGAAACCTCCCCATTGTGGGAGGGGCAGACACAACCTACTGGGGGAATTTCCCCATTGTGGGGGGGAGGGGCAGACAACCTACTGGGGGGAGGGATTCTCCCGATTGTGGGAGGGCAGACACAAAGCAGCGATTGTCAGTTGTTGGCAGGCACAGTAGGGGGCCTCTTGACCCGGTAATGGTGGAATACAGTGACGCATGGTTGATGGCGGAGATGGGCAGGCATGCCGGGGAACACACAACGGATGGGCAGGCATGCCGGGGAACACACAACGGATGGGCAGGACATGCCGGGGGAACACACAACGATGGGCACATGGTGGGGATGGGGGACCACAAACACTTCCCCAGCTGACCTGGTGATGGGGGAGCGTCAGGTGGGCTGATGGCGCTGTAATTTGGCCATTGTGTAATTTCGGATAGTAAGCCGGCTGGGCCTGGTGTCTCCTTAATCCAATGAGCAATAAAGTTATCTCTTCCAGAACATTGTGGGAGGAGACTAGACACGGGTCACAGCGAGTCCTTCTCCCTCCGCGGCCACGCCCCTGCGCCCAACTCCTCCGCCACGGGGGGAACTCGCCCCTCATCACACCCGCACAATGGCTCAGTGTTCAGGGAAAAGGATTCGGTTATTACAGGAAGAATTGGAGGAAATCACAGAAACTACAAAATGCCCAAAAATGAGGCGATTAGCGAACGGAGGACTCTTTAACCAAGCTCTTACCGACTTGCCATGTAAACTGGGGGCACTTACAGTGTGTGTCATGTATCCCATGGACGGCATGGAGCGGCGTCCACGTGTGCTGCAGGGTGACTGGGGGGAGGAAAAACATGGAGTGAGACTCCGCGCCTGCTGGGCGGGGCTGAGAACTGCCTACCAAGACTACACAACTCCACACGGGGTTCACAGATAGCGGACAGAAAAATCGTCCTGCAATGGTGCGGACCCCATTGTATGTATGCAGCAAGACATGACCCCCCAATACAGTATGGGGATCCTGGGGGGACCCCCAGCAATGCGGACCCCATTGTGTAATGTATGCAGCAAGACATGACCCCCCAATACAGTATGGGATCCTGGGGGACCCCCCAGCAATGCGGACCCCAATTCTGTATTATACAGCATGACATGACCCCCCAATACAGTATGGGATCCGGGGGGACCCCCAGCAATGCAGACCACATTGTATGTATGCAGCATGACATGACCCCCTCCCCAATACAGTATGGGATCCTGGGGGGACCCCCAGCAATGCGGACCCCAATCTGTATATACAGCAGACATGACCCCCCAATACAGTATGGATCCTGGGGGGACCCCCAGCAATGCATACCTCAGTCTGTTATATAGAGCATGGGACATGACCCCCCAATACAGTATGGGATCCTGGGGGGACCACCCAGCAATGCAGACCCCATTCTGTATATAGAGCATGACATGGACCCCCCCAATACAGTATGGATCCTGGGGAGACCCCCCACAATGCAGAACCCCAATTCTGTATATAGAGCATGAAATGACCCCCCAATACAGTATGGGATCCTGGGGGGACCCCCAGCCATGAATGCAACCCCATTCTGTATATAGAGCATGAAATGACCCCCCCCAATACAGTATGGGATCCTGGGGGGACCCCCCACAATGCGACCCCCATTGTATGTAGCAGCAGCAAGACATGTCCCCCCAATACAGTATGGGATCCTGGGGGGACCCCTGCAATGCAGGACCCCATTCTGTATATAGAGCATGACAATGACCTCCCCAATACAGGATGGGATCCTGGGGGGACCCCCCAGTAATGCGGACCCCATTCTGTATATAGAGCATGACATGACCCCCCAATACAGTTATGTGATCCTGGGGGAACCCCCAAGCAATGCAGACCCCCATTCTGTATATAGAGCATGACATGACCCCCCAATACAGTATGGGATCCTGGGGGGACCCCCAAGCAATGCAGGACCCCATTCTGTATATAGAGCATGACATGACCCCCCAATACAGTATGGGATCCTGGGGAGAACCCCCCACAATGCCGACGACCCCATTCTGTCATATATAGAGCATGAAATGACCCCCCAATACAGTATGGGAATCCCTGGGGGGACCCCCAGCAATGCAGACCCCATTCTGTATATAGAGCATGAAATGAACCCCCTCCACAATACAGTATGGGATCCTGGGGGGACCCCCAGCAATGCAGACCCCCATTGTATGTATGCAGCAAGATCTTACATGACATGTCCCCCAATACAGTATGTGATCCTGGGGGGGACCCCCAGCAATGCGGACCCCATTCTGTATATAGAGCATGACATGCCCCCCCAATACAGTAATGTGATCCTGGGGGGACCCCCAAGCAATGCGTTACCCCAATCTGTATATAACAGCATGACATGACCCCCAATATAGTATGGGATCCTGGGGGGACCCCCAGCAATGCGGACCCCAATCTGTATATACAGCATGGGACATGTCCCCCAAATACAGTATGTGGGATCCTGGGGGACCCCCAGCAATGCGGACCCCATTCTGTATAATAGAGCATGACATGACCCCCCCAATACAGTATGTGATCCTGGGGGAAAACCCCCAGCAATGCAGGACCCCATTCTGTATATACAGCATGACATGCCCCCCACAATACAGTAATGGGATCCTGGGGGGGGACCCCAGCAAATGCGGACCCCATTCTGTATATAGAGCATGAACATGACCCCCCCAATACAGTATGGGATCCTGGGGGGACCCCCCCACAATGCAGACCCCATTCTGTATATAGCAGCATGACATGCCCCCCCAATACAGTATGGGATCCTGGGGGGGACCCCAGCAATGCGGACCCCAAATCTAAATTATATACCAGCAAGACATGACCCCCCCCAATATAGTATGTGATCCTGGGGGTCACCCCCAGCAATGCATATGACCCCATTGTATGTATGCAGCAAGACATGTCCCCCCAATACCAGTATGGGATCCTGGGGGGACCCCCAGCTAATGCAGGACCCCATTGTATGTATGTCAGCAAGACATGACCCCACAATACAGGATGTGATGACCTGGGGGGACCCCTCACGCAATAAGCGGCGTCCCCATTCTGTATATACAGCAGTGACATGCCCCCCCAATACAGTATGGGATCCTGGGGAACCCCCGACCAATGCAGCATATCACCCCATTGTATGTATCTGTAACCAAAGCAGCATGCCCGTTTATGCATCCCCCCCCAATACAGTATGTGATTCCAACACGGGGGGACCCACACCCACTCTGCGCTGACCCCCCCGTGTTAACTGGTTCCGCTGAACCCCCGGCGGTGGAATCCCATGTTGGTGTTCAGACGTAATCACAGACATGGTCCTCTTTAACCTTGACTGCCGCCGGCCGCTGCTAGCTACCGACATCGGAGGGGTCTTCTGTGTGGATCCAATGAAGTGGAACTTCCATGGCTCTGTCCTCCGGGCCGGACGGTCATCTCTCTGCAAGGGTGTGGGGTCTTCTGGGGGGACCCGAACATCTTCGGAGGACCCGGCGGTGGGATGTCGTCCCCCAAGGAGATGGAGGAACAGACAATCACATCGGGGACCACCCAAACGTCCCAGGAACACTCTGGCTCTGTCACGAAACGGTCAGCACGCGTCCATGGTGCCGACATGTAAATCTGGCCCGGTGGGGCTGCCCACCCCGCAGTTTGAAACATGGAACCTGCCGCTTGCTGCCACTACGTACAGCTGCCACACCATCCCCCTCCTTGGTGGCCTGAACGCTCCTCGCTGGAACATCTTCAGGTGGCTGACCCCCACAAACACCACCGGTCCTGGGCGACCCCCACTTGTAGTCACTGGGAACAAGTTCCGGCTGGGGGGTGGAGAGCCCGCCGGGGGGGTGTCTGCTGGTGTCTTCGGCAGAGTCTGGTACCGCTCCAACCCCGCGAAGACTGTTCTGGCCCGATACTGAAAAGCAGAAGATGGCGGTGAGATTTACCTGGACAATCCAGAACCCGACCCACTGGACCCGAACCCAAACACTGGACCGGAGAACCCAACCCCCACAAACACCGGACCGGAACCCGTCCCCCCACAAACACCGGACCGGAACCCAACCCCCACAAACACCGGACCCCCACAAAACTGGATGGAACCCAACCCCCACAAACACTGGACCAGAACCCAACCCCCACAAAACACTGGACCGGAACCCCCACCCCCACAAACACTGGACCGGAACCCGACCCCCCACAAAACTGGACCAGAACCCAACCCCCAAAAACACTGGACCAGAACCCAACCCCCCCACAAACACTGGACCAGAACCCAACCCCCCACAAACACTGGACCCCCCCCACAAACACACCGGACCGGAACCCACCCCCAACCCCCCACAAACAAACCGGACCGGAACCCAACCCCCACAAACACATGGACCGGAACCCGACCCCCCACAAACACAGAACCCAACCCCCACAAACACTGGACCAGAACCCGAACCCCCACAAAACACCGGACCGGAACCCCCCCCCCACCAAAAACACCGGACCGAAACCCAACCCCCCCCACACACAAACACTGGACCGGAACCCCGACCCCCACAAAACACCAGAACCCCCACCCAACCCCCCCACAAACACCTGGACCAGAACCCAACCCCCACAAACACCGGACCAGAACCCCCACAAAACACCCAGAACCCAAACCCCCACAAACACCGGACCAAAACACTGGACCGGAACCCAACCCCCACAAACACCGGACCGGAACCCAAACCCAACCCCCCCAACCCGCCACCCCACAAACACCGGGACCGGACCCGGAACCCAACCCCCCCCAAACACCGGACCAGAACCCAAAACCCCCAACAAAATACACTGGACCAGAACCCAACCCCCACAAACACCACCGGAACCCACCGGACCCACCACAACAAACACTGGACCGGAACCCAACCCCCACAAACACCCAGAAAACCCCCACAAACACTGGACCACCCGAACCCCCACAAAACCCCCAACCCCCACAAACACTGGACCGGAACCCAACCCCCCAAAAACACCGGACCGGAACCCGACCCCCACAAAACAGCTGGACCAGGGGAACCCGACCCCACAAACACCGGGACCAGAACCCAACCCCCACACAAACACGACCGGAACCCAACCCCCACAAACCCCGGACACCCCGACCCCCCACAAAACACGGACCGGAACCCAGCAAACAATGGACCCCCACACAACACCGGACCAGAACCCAACCCCCACAAACACTGGACCGGAACCCGACCCCCACAAACACCGGACCGGAACCCAACCCCCACAAACACCCCAGAACCCGACCCCCACAAACACGGACCGGAACCCAACCCCCACAAACACTGGACCGGACCCACTGGAGAACCCAACCCCCACAAACACCGGACCAGAACCCAACCCCCACAAAACAAACACCGACCGGAACCCGACCCCCACAAAACATGGACCAGAACCCGACCCCCCCACAAACACTGGACCAGAACCCAACCCCCACAAACACTGGACCGGAACCCAACCCCCACAAACACCGGACCGGAACCCGACCCCCACAAACACTGGACCGGAACCCGACCCCCACAAACACTGGACCGGAACCCAACCCCACAAACACTGGACCAGAACCCAACCCCCACAAACACACCGGACCCCCACAAACAACCGACCCCCGACACAAACACCGGACCGGAACCCGAACCACCACAACCCAACACAAAACACCAGACCAAACCCAACCCCCACAAACCACCAACAAACCCCCACAAACACATGGACCAGAACCCAACCCCCACAAACACCAGGACCCAGAACCCACCCCCACAAAACACTGCACCGGTGCACGGACCAGAACCCGACCCCCACAAAACATGGACCGGAACCCGACCCCCACAAACACTGGACCAGAACCCAACCCCCACAAACACTGGACCAGAAAAACCCCCACAAAACTCTACACCGGACCGGAACCCGACCCCCACAAACACTGGACCAGAACCCAACCCCCACAAACACTGGACACAGAACCCAACCCCCACAAACACTGGACCAGAACCCAACCCCCACAAACACCAGACCAGAAAACCCAGGTGGCACCAGACACCCAGAACCACACAAACACCAGACAGTAACCAAACCCCCACAGTGACTTTGAATACACTCAATCATAAAATATTACCCACAGTGACTGCAGGCAGGTGGCGCTCTGTACCCAGAATATACACCCCCACAGTCACATATCATACAATACCCCATGGCGCTCTACACCCATACCCCACACGTGACTGACTGCAGGTGGCGCCCTACACCCAGAATACACGTCACATACAATACCCCACAGTGACTGCAGGTGGCGCTCTGTACCCAGAATACACGTCACATACAATACCCCACAGTGACTGCAGGTGGCGCTCTGTACCCAGAATACACATCACATACAATACCCCACAGTGACTGCAGGTGGCGCTCTATACCCAGAATACACATCACATACAATATACCCACAGTGACTGCAGGTGGCGCTCTGTACCCAGAATACACATCACATACAATACCCCACAGTGACTGCAGGTGGCGCTCTGTACCCCCAGAATACACATCACATACATACCCCACAGTGACTGCAGGTGGCGCTCTACACCCAGAATACACATCACATACAATACCCCACAGTGACTGCAGGTGGCGCTCTACACCCAGAATACACATCACATACAATACCCCACAGTGACTGCAGGTGGCGCTCTGTACCCAGAATACACGTCACATACAATACCCCACAGTGACTGCAGGTGGCGCTCTGTACCCAGAATACACATCACATACAATACCCCACAGTGACTGCAGGTGGCGCTCTGTACCCAGAATACACATCACATACAATACCCCACAGTGACTGCAGGTGGCGCTCTACACCCAGAATACACGTCACATACAATACCCCACAGTGACTGCAGGTGGCGCTCTGTACCCAGAATACACGTCACATACAATACCCCACAGTGACTGCAGGTGGCGCTCTGTACCCCCAGAATACACGTCACATACAACACCCCACAGTGACTGCAGGTGGCGCTCTGTACCCAGAATACACGTCACATACAATACCCCACAGTGACTGCAGGTGGCGCTCTGTACCCAGAATACACGTCACATACAATACCCCACAGTGACTGCAGGTGGCGCTCTGTACCCAGAATACACATCACATACAATACCCCACAGTGACTGCAGGTGGCGCTCTATACCCAGAATACACACATCACATACAATACCCCACAGTGACTGCAGGTGGCGCTCTGTACCCAGAATACACATCACATACAATACCCCACAGTGACTGCAGGTGGCGCTCTGTACCCAGAATACACATCACATACAATACCCCACAGTGACTGCAGGTGGCGCTCTGTACCCAGAATACACATCACATACAATACCCCACAGTGACTGCAGGTGGCGCTCTGTACCCAGAATACACGTCACATACAATACCCCACAGTGACTGCAGGTGGCGCTCTGTACCCAGAACACACGTCACATACAACACCCCACAGTGACTGCAGGTGGCGCTCTGTACCCAGAATACACGTCACATACAACAACACCCCACAGTGACTGCAGGTGGCGCTCTGTACCCAGAATACAGGTCACATACAATACCCCACAGTGACTGCAGGTGGCGCTCTTTACCCAGAACACACGTCACATACAATACCCCACAGTGACTGCAGGTGGCGCTCTGTACCCAGAACACAAAGGCCGCCGCTGCTTGTTTCTGAAAATGCTGTTTGCCCGACTCTCTGGCTTTGGTCCTCTCAGCTCCTCATCTGCATTCCTTTACCCAGCTGGTGAGAAATCACTGAAATAAGCGGAGCAGCCAGGCAGAGAGCATTTCCAGGTCGGCAGATCGATGAATTCTACGTGTGTGTGGCTTCTACAGGAATCGTCTTACCTCTTGCCGTCGGCCTTCTGGACCTTCACCCATTGCTCCACCTGGCCCATCATGCTGCGCCGCTGCACATGTTTCTCCGGGTCGGCTCTGGGCACAAAGCCCCTCTTGTAGGTGTCGGCTCCGTTCTGCTCCACTGGACTGGTGTTGGTCCGGAAGGAAGCCGGCAAGGTCCCGTTCCTCTCCAGGATCTGCGGTTGGGGAGTCTGTGGGGCCGCATAGCGATACCTTTTGCTGAAATCGGTGAAGGCGGACTGCCGGTCGCTGTACAGAAAAGAATTCTGAGCTTTCCCCCCGTTGGTGTTGATGACGTTTTTGTGGGCGACGTAGTTGTCGCGGTCTCGCCCGTTCCGGTACCCGCTCCGGTTCCTCCAAATCCCGGGAGTAGTAATCCTTGTCGATCCGCTCCTTGAATCGATCCTTCAGCCCGACCTCCCGCTGGCGGTCTTTGTCTCCGCCGGTTCGATGAAGTTCCTTCTCCGGCTCCCGCTGGCGGTCTTTGCCTCCGCCGGTTCGATGAAGTTCCTTCTCCGGCTCCCGCTGGCGGTCTTTGCCTCCGCCGGTTCGATGAAGTTCCTTCTCCGTCTCCCGCTGGCGGTCTTTGCCTCCGCCGGTTCGATGAAGTTCCTTCTCCGTCTCCCGCTGGCGGTCTTTGCCTCCGCCGGTTCGATGAAGTTCCTTCTCCGGCTCCCGTTGGCGCTCCTTGTCTTCGCCATTCCGGTAGAGCTCCTTGTCTGCCGCCTCTCGGAAGCGTTCCTTGTCCCCCGTCTCCCGATAGCGCTCCTTCTCCCCCACCACCGGGTAGCGCTCTCTCTCACCTTCGTCTTGGTACCCGTCTTGGAGGCGCACGTCGCGGTACTGCTCCTTCTCTCCGGAGTTGCGCCGCGGTTCCTCGTTTCTGGATGGTGGCGGTTCTTTGGGTTTGGAGTAGTTGCTCCTCATCTGGACCGGCTCCGGCTGGGGAAACTCCTTGAAGGACTCGATGTGGTTGTTCACCGGGACCGACGGCCATTCCATGTCCACAATGTCCCTAAAACAAGTCAAAACATTTCTGTTAGACAAAAAATATATATTTCTGGGACAATAACTGAGGAATGGGGAGACACTGGGGGGGCTGCTATCCCCTCCACCCCCCTCCCCCCTCCATCTCCCGATGTGGCGAGTCATGGCGGTCCCTCTCCGGTGTGGCGAGTCATGGCGGTCCCTCTCCGGAGTGCCGGAGTCAATGCGGACTTTGGATGATGCTGAGCTCAGGACTCACAGATCGAATCCTCAGCTGACTCAATGTGGGATTCTGCAGACTCCGCGGCCGGGATAGAGACCCCGCGCTCTCCGCAGCGCTCCCGGCGCTCCCGGGCCCGGATCTGCAGCATTTCACAGACGATCGATGAAAGACGCGGCACAATGTCAATTAACAGCCGGCGTCCGTAAATGAGGAATAATCAGAAAATCGAGAAGCAATCCGCGGGTCGGGGGAGGGAGAGACTGCAGGAGATAAAGTGGAATCTGGAGGACGCCATGTGATATCAGGAGGGGGAGGAGATCATTCCTCGGACAATCATTGGGGGGCACACAGGGAAGATTTGGGGGTCATAAAATACCGACATTTCTCCATCGGACAAACTATTCGCTGGGATTGCCCTCCTTGGAGATCAGCAATGGCGGTCCTTGTACCGCGACGAGTCATCAATACAAAGATCAATCAATTGTCTGATTTCTGCCTAATGGGGCAACAAACGATCGATGTCCATCCTCTGCAGAAAGCATTTCACCTTCTATCACACTGTGAGCAGCATCCCTGCTAATGGGGACTACAAGTCCCAGCATGGTGTCTCCTCATGATGGGGACTACAAGTCTCAGCATGGTGTCTCCTCATGATGGGGACTACAAGTCTCAGCATGGTGTCTCCTCATGATGGGGACTACAAGTCTCAGCATGGTGTCTCCTCATGGTCTCAGCATGGTGTCTCCTCATGATGGGGACTACAAGTCTCAGCATGGTGTCTCCTCATGTTGGGGACTACAAGTCTCAGCATGGTGTCTCCTCATGATGGGGACTACAAGTCCAGCATGGTGTCTCCTCATGTTGGGGACTACAACAGCATGGTGTCTCCTCATGTTGGGGACTACAAGTCTCAGCATGGTGTCTCCTCATGTTGGGGACTACAAGTCTCAGCATGGTGTCTCCTCATGTTGGGGACTACAAGTCTCAGCATGGTGTCTCCTCATGATGGGGAACTACAAGTCTCAGCATTGTCTCATGATGGGGACTACAAGTCTCAGCATTGTCTCCTCATGATGGGGACTACAAGTCTCAGCATTGTCTCCTCATGATGGGGACTACAAGTCTCAGCATTGTCTCCTCATGATGGGGACTACAAGTCTCAGCATGGTGTCTCCTCATGATGGGGACTACAAGTCTCAGCATGGTGTCCTCATGATCTACAATCTCTCATTGTCTCCTCATGATGGGGACTACAAGTCTCAGCATTGTCTCCTCATGATGGGGACTAAAGTCTCAGCATTGTCTCCTCATGATCCTACAAGTCTCATTGTCTCCTCATGATGGGGACTACAAGTCTCAGCATTGTCTCCTCATGATGGGGACTACAAGTCTCAGCATGGTGTCTCCTCATGATGGGGACTACAAGTCCAGCATGTGTCTCCTCATGATGGGGACTACAAGTCTCCAGCATTGTGCTCAGATGGGGATTGCTCAGCTGCAGGTCCCATCATGAGGGGGACTACAAGTCTCAATTGTCTCCTCATGATGGGGACTACAAGTCTCAGCATTTCTCACATGAACTACAATTCTTCTATTTAACCCATGGAAAAGAATAATGAAACAAAAATCTAAAACAAAAAGATGAGAAATCTTAAGAACTTAACCCCTCCCCTTCTATCACAGGGGTACTACAACCCCCAATGTGGAGATCTGGTCTCCCCGGAATCCCCCTCCAGACTACAACCCCCAAAGTGGAGATCTGATCTCCCCGGAATCCCCCTCCAGACTACAACCCCCAATGTGGAGATCTGATCTCCCCGGAATCCCCCTCCAGACTACAACCCCCAATGTGGAGATCTGATCTCCCCGGAATCCCCCTCCAGACTACAACCCCCAATGTAGAGATCTGGTCTCCCCGGAATCCCCCTCCAGACTACAACCCCCAATGTGGAGATCTGATCTCCCCGGAATCCCCCTCCAGACTACAACCCCCAATGTAGAGATCTGGTCTCCCCGGAATCCCCCTCCAGACTACAACCCCCCAATGTAGAGATCTGGTCTCCCCGGAATCCCCCTCCAGACTACAACCCCCAATGTAGAGATCTGATCTCCCCGGAATCCCCCTCCAGACTACAACCCCCAATATGGAGATGTGGTCTCCCCGGAATCCCCCTCCAGACTACAACCCCCAATATGGAGATGTGATCTCCTCGGAATCCCCCTCCAGACCACCCAATATGGAGGTGTGGTCTCCTCGGAATCCCCCAGACCAGACCCCACCCAATATGGAAATGTGGTCTCCTCGGAATCCCCCTCCAGACCACCCAACATGGAGATGTGGTCTCCTCGGAATCCCCCTCCAGACCACCCAACATGGAGATGTGGTCTCCTCGGAATCCCTCCAGACCACCCAATATGGAGATGTGGTCTCCTCGGAATGCCCCTCCAGACCACCCAATATGGAGATGTGGTCTCCTCGGAATCCCCCTCCAGACCACCCAATATGGAGATGTGGTCTCCCCGGAATCCCCTTCCAGACCACCCAATATGGAGATGTGGTCTCCTCGGAATCCCCCTCCAGACCACCCAATATGGAGATGTGGTCTCCTCCCCCCTCCAGGGAATCCCCTTCCAGACCACCCAATATGGAGATGTGGTCTCCTCGGAATCCCCCTCCAGACCACCCAATATGGAGAGATGTGGTCTCCTCGGAATCCCCCTCCAGTAATGTATAAGTACCCCCCCCTCCCCCCAGTGACCTGTAGGTTGTAGGATATAGCTCTCGGCACGCACCCCTGTGCACCCCACACTTGCCTCTTGTTTTCGGGGGTGCTCTGGACGAGGGTCGCCTGGTTCATCGCCCGGATCCAGCCATTCATGTCCTCCTGGGTGTCAGCGCTGAAGTAGTACGTCCTCATTCCCGCGTTCTCATGCTCTCGGTGCTGGATGTACGCACGCATGCTATTGTGTACCGCCTGAGACAAGAACACACCCCCAGCGTCAGCCAATGTTCCGTGTGCCGGGACCCCCCCCACTAGGACCCCCCCACCCACCATAGAATTCACTACACAAAGGGGTCACCCTACAGATCTACACAGGAAAGTCACAGACCATACAAGATGGAGCTCATCTCCACCGACTACCGGGGTCCAGCCACAGACACAGGTGTGTGGGAACAACCAATGGGAGGGGGGAGCAGAGACAGGTGTGAGGGAACAACCAATGGGAGGAGGGGAACAGAGACAGGTGTGAGGGAACAACCAATGGGAGGGGGGAGAAGAGACAGGTGTGAGGGAACAACCAATGGGAGGAGGGAACAGAGACAGGTGTGAGGGAACAACCAATGGGAGGAGGGAACAGAGACAGGTGTGAGGGAACAACCAATGGGAGGGGGGAACAGAGACAGGTGTGAGGGAACAGCCAATGGGAGGAGGGAGCAGAGACAGGTGTGAGGGAACAACCAATGGGAGGGGAGAGCAGAGACAGGTGTGCGGGGGAACAACCAATGGGAGGAAGGAACAGAGACAGGTGTGAGGGAACAGCCAATGGGAGGAGGGAACAGAGACAGGTGTGAGGGAACAACCAATGGGAGGGGAGAGCAGAGACAGGTGTGCGGGGGAACAACCAATGGGAGAAGGGAGCAGAGACAGGTGTGTGCAGGAACAACCAATGGGAGGGGGGAGCAGAGACAGGTGTGTGGGAACAACCAATGGGAGGGGGGAGCAGAGACAGGTGTGCGGGGAACAACCAATGGGAGGGGGGAACAGAGACAGGTGTGCGGGCACATTCAATGGGAGGAGGGAACAGAGACAGGTGTGCGGGATCAACCAATGGGAGGAGGGAACAGAGACAGGTGTGCAGGAACAACCAATGGGAGGGGGGAGCAGAGACAGGTGTGCGGAAACAACCAATGGGAGGAGGGAACAGAGACAGGTGTGTGCGGGAAAAACCAATGGGATGGGGGAACAGAGACAGGTGTGCGGGAACAACCAATGGGAGGAGGGAACAGAGACAAGTGTGCGGGAACAACCAATGGGAGGAGGGAACAGAGACAGGTGTGCGGGAACAACCAATGGGAGGAGGGAGCAGAGACAGGTGTGTAGGAACAACCAATGGGAGGAGGGAACAGAGACAGGTGTGTGCGGGAAAAACCAATGGGAGGGGGGAACAGAGACAGGTGTGCGGGAACAACCAATGGGAGGAGGGAACAGAGACAGATGTGTGCGGGAACAACCAATGGGAGGAGGGAACAGACAGGTGTGTGCAGGAACAACCAATGGGAGGAGGGAACAGAGACAGGTGTGTGCGGGAACAACCAATGGGAGGAGGGAACAGAGACAGGTGTGCAGGAACAACCAATGGGAGGAGGGAACAGAGACAGGTGTGCAGGAACAACCAATGGGAGGAGGGAACAGAGACAGGTGTGCAGGAACAACCAATGGGAGGAGGGAACAGAGACAGGTGTGTGCAGGAATAACCAATGGGAGGAGGGAACAGAGACAGGTGTGCGGGAACAACCAATGGGAGGGGGGGGACAGAGACAGGTGTGCGGGAACAACCAATGGGAGGAGGGAACAGAGACAGGTGTGCAGGAACAACCAATGGGAGGAGGGAACAGAGACAGGTGTGCGGGGAAAAACCAATGGGAGGGGGGAACAGAGACAGGTGTGCGGGAACAACCAATGGGAGGAGGGAACAGAGACAGGTGTGCAGGAACAACCAATGGGAGGAGGGAACAGAGACAGGTGTGCGGGAACAACCAATGGGAGGAGGGAACAGAGACAGGTGTGTGCGGGAACAACCAATGGGAGGGGGGAACAGAGACAGGTGTGTGCGGGAACAACCAATGGGAGGAGGGAACAGAGACAGGTGTGTAGGAACAAACCAATGGGAGGAGGGAACAGAGACAGGTGTGCAGGAACAACCAATGGGAGGAGGGAACAGAGACAGGTGTGTGCAGGAATAACCAATGGGAGGAGGGAACAGAGACAGGTGTGTGCGGGAACAACCAATGGGAGGGGGAACAGAGACAGGTGTGTGCGGGAATAACCAATGGGAGGGGGGAACAGAGACAGGTGTGTGCGGGAACAACCAATGGGAGGGGGGAACAGAGACAGGTGTGTAGGAACAACCAATGGGAGGGGGGAACAGAGACAGGTGTGTAGGAACAACCAATGGGAGGAGGGAACAGAGACAGGTGTGTAGGAACAACCAATGGGAGGAGGGAACAGAGACAGGTGTGCAGGAACAACCAATGGGAGGAGGGAACAGAGACAGGTGTGTGCGGGAACAACCAATGGGAGGGGGGAACAGAGACAGGTGTGTGAGGGAACAACCAATGGGAGGGGGGAACAGAGACAGGTGTGTAGGAACAACCAATGGGAGGAGGGAACAGAGACAGGTGTGTGCGGGAACAACCAATGGGAGGTGGGAACAGAGACAGGTGTGTGCGAAAACAACCAATGGGAGGAGGGAACAGAGACAGGTGTGCAGGAACAACCAATGGGAGGAGGGAACAGAGACAGGTGTGCAGGAACAACCAATGGGAGGAGGGAACAGAGACAGGTGTGCGGGAACAACCAATGGGAGGGGGGAACAGAGACAGGTGTGCGGGAACAACCAATGGGAGGGGGAACAGAGACAGGTGTGCAGGAACAACCAATGGGAGGAGGGAACAGAGACAGGTGTGCGGGAAAAACCAATGGGAGGGGGGAACAGAGACAGGTGTGCAGGAACAACCAATGGGAGGAGGGAACAGAGACAGGTGTGCAGGAACAACCAATGGGAGGAGGGAACAGAGACAGGTGTGCGGGAACAACCAATGGGAGGAGGGAACAGAGACAGGTGTGTGCGGGAACAACCAATGGGAGGGGGGAACAGAGACAGGTGTGTGCGGGAACAACCAATGGGAGGAGGGAACAGAGACAGGTGTGCGGGAACAACCAATGGGAGGAGGGAACAGAGACAGGTGTGTGCAGGAATAACCAATGGGAGGTGGGAAAAGAGACAGGTGTGTGCGGGAACAACCAATGGGAGGAGGGAACAGAGACAGGTGTGTGCAGGAATAACCAATGGGAGGAGGGAACAGAGACAGGTGTGTGCGGGAACAACCAATGGGAGGGGGAACAGAGACAGGTGTGTGCGGGAACAACCAATGGGAGGGGGGAACAGAGACAGGTGTGTGCGGGAACAACCAATGGGAGGGGGGAACAGAGACAGGTGTGTGCGGGAACAACCAATGGGAGGGGGGAACAGAGACAGGTGTGTAGGAACAACCAATGGGAGGGGGGAACAGAGACAGGTGTGTAGGAACAACCAATGGGAGGAGGGAACAGAGACAGGTGTGCAGGAACAACCAATGGGAGGAGGGAACAGAGACAGGTGTGTGCGGGAACAACCAATGGGAGGGGGGAACAGAGACAGGTGTGTGAGGGAACAACCAATGGGAGGGGGAACAGAGACAGGTGTGTAGGAACAACCAATGGGAGGAGGGAACAGAGACAGGTGTGTGCGGGGGAACAACCAATGGGAGGGGGGAACAGAGACAGGTATGTGCGGGAACAACCAATGGGAGGAGGGAACAGAGACAGGTGTGTGCGGGAACAACCAATGGGAGGAGGGAACAGAGACAGGTGTGTGCGGGAACAACCAATGGGAACAGAGGGAACAATGAGGACAGGTGTGTGGGGAACAACCAATGGGAGGAGGGAACAGAGACAGGTGTGTGCGGGAACAACCAATGGGAGGAGGGAACAGAGACAGGTGTGTGGGATAAAGGTGGGTGTTAGGCGTTCGTAAGTCAGCAATGGACAGGAACAGAGCTGGAACGGTGGCGGGAGAGGTCAGCATTGGACTATGGAGGACATATAAGAAGGTGGGGCTAACTCACCTCACTGACCCCGCCTATGACTACAATATCTGTTTTGGGTGGACTGATCCTTTAAGTGACATTCTCTATCCCGCTAATCCCAGGAGGTGGTTCTGCGCTCCCTATAGACGGTCAGATCTGGAGGACGGTCTGTACTCCAGATATTTGTTGGACATTCACAGACCTGACCACGAGATTGTAATCTGTACCGGAATCCCCGACAACCACATCGACCAATCACATTACATCCAGGGGACAGGCCCTCCCCCGACCAATCACATTACATCCAGAGGACAGGCCCTCCCCCGACCAATCACATTACATCCAGAGGACAGGCCCTCCCCCGACCAATCACATTACATCCAGGGGACAGGCCCTCCCCCGACCAATCACATTACATCCAGAGGACAGGCCGTCCCCCGACCAATCACATTACATCCAGGGGACAGGCCCTCCCCCGACCAATCACATTACATCCAGAGGACAGGCCCTCCCCCGACCAATCACATTACATCCAGAGGACAGGCCGTCCCCCGACCAATCACATTACATCCAGAGGACAGGCCCTCCCCCGACCAATCACATTACATCCAGAGGACAGGCCCTCCCCCGACCAATCACATTACATCCAGAGGACAGGCCCTCCCCCGACCAATCACATTACATCCAGAGGACAGGCCCTCCCCCGAACAATCACATTACATCCAGAGGACAGGCCCTCCCCCGAACAATCACATTACATCCAGGGGACAGGCCCTCCCCCGACCAATCACATTACATCCAGGGGACAGGCCCTCCCCCGACCAATCACATTACATCCAGAGGACAGGCCCTCCCCCGAACAATCACATTACATCCAGAGGACAGGCCCTCCCCCGAACAATCACATTACATCCAGGGGACAGGCCCTCCCCCGACCAATCACATTACATCCAGGGGACAGGCCCTCCCCCGACCAATCACATTACATCCAGGGGACAGGCCCTCCCCCCGACCAATCACATTACATCCAGGGGACAGGCCCTCCCCCGACCAATCACATTACATCCAGGGGACAGGCCCTCCCCCGACCAATCACATTACATCCAGAGGACAGGCCCTCCCCCGACCAATCACATTACATCCAGAGGACAGGCCCTCCCCCGACCAATCAGATCCAACCTATATAATGGATACAACCCGACAGAATAGAGCAGAGCCGTCCTCCGGGGGGGGGGGGGGTAGAATCCGATACAAAGTATCCAGAGGAAGTCTTCACATCCCACATTACAGAGCAACATGGAGGAGACCCCAACACACTCCATGTACCCGACACCAGAGACCCCAACACACGCCATGTACCCGACACCAGAGACCCCAACACACTCCATGTACCCGACACCAGAGACCCCAACACAATCCATGTACCCGACACCAGAGACCCCAACACACTCCATGTACCCGACACAAGAGACCCCAACACACTCCATGTAGATGACACCAGAGACCCCAACACACTCCATGTAGATGACACCAGAGACCCCAACACACTCCATGTAGATGACACCAGAGACCCCAACACACTCCATGTACCCGACACCAGAGACCACAACACACTCCATGTACCTGACACCAGAGACCACAACACACTCCATGTACCCAACACCAGAGACCCCAACACACTCCATGTACCCGACACCAGAGACCCCAACACACGCCATGTACCCGACACCAGAGACCCCAACACACTCCATGTACCCGACACCAGAGACCCCACATCCATGGTACCCAACACACACTCCATGTACCCACACCAGAGACCCCAACACACGCCATGTACCCCAACACACACACTCCATGTACCCCGACACCAGAGACCCCAACACACTCCATGTACCCGACACCCCCAACACACTCCATGTACCCGACACCAGAGACCCCAACACACTCCATGTACCCGACACCAGAGACCCCAACACACTCCATGTAGATGACACCAGAGACCCCCCCAACACACTCCATGTAGATGACACCAGAGACCCCAACACACTCCATGTAGATGACACCAGAGACCCCAACACACTCCATGTACCCGACACCAGAGACCCACAACACACTCCATGTACCCGACACCAGAAGACCACAACACACTCCATGTACCCGACACCAGAGACCACAACACACTCCATGTACCCAACACCAGAGACCCCCAACACACTCCATGTACCCAACACCAGAGACCCCAACACACTCCATGTATCCGACACCAGAGACCCCAACACACTCCATGTACCCGACACCAGAGACCCCAACACACTCCATGTACCCGACACCAGAGACCACAACACACACTCCATGTAGATGACACCAGAGACCCCAACACACTCCATGTACCCACCAGAGACAACACAGTAGGCCCCAACACACTCCATGTACCTGACATCAGAGACCCCAACACACTCCATGTACCCAACACAGGAGACCCAAACACACTCCATGTACCCGACACCAGAGACCCCAACACACTCCATGTACCCAACACAGGAGACCCAAACACACTCCATGTACCCGACACCAGAGACACCAACACACTCCGTGTACCCGACACCAGAGACCACAACACACTCCATGTAGATGACACCAGAGACCCCAACACACTCCATGTACCTGACACCAGAGACCCCAACACACTCCATGTACCCAACACAGGAGACCCCAACACACTCCATGTACCTGACACCAGAGACCCCAACACACTCTGTACCTGACACCAGAGACCACAACACACTCCATGTACCCGACACCAGAGACCACAACACACTCCATGTAGATGACACCAAAGACCCCAACACACTCCATGTACCCGACACCAGAGACCACAACACACTCCATGTACCTGACATCAGAGACCCCAACACACTCCATGTACCCAACACAGGAGACCCAAACACACTCCATGTACCCGACACCAGAGACCACAACACACTCCATGTACCCAACACCAGAGACCACAACACACTCCATGTACCCGACACCAGAGACCACAACACACTCCATGTAGATGACACCAGAGACCCCAACACACTCCATGTACCTAACACAGGAGACCCCAACACACTCCATGTACACTCCATGTACCCGACACCAGAGACCCCAACACACTCCATGTACTTGACACCAGAGACCCCAACACACTCCATGTACCCGACACCAGAGGCCCCAAAACACTCCATGTACTTGACACCAACACACTCCATGTACCCGACACCAGAGACCCCCAACACACTCCATGTACCTGACACCAGAGACCCCAACACATTCCATGTACCCGACACCAGAGACCCCAACACACTCCATGTACCTGACACCAGAGACCCCAACACATTCCATGTACCTGACACCAGAGACCCCAACATACTCCATGTACCTGACACCAGAGACCCCAACACACTCCATGTACCCAACACAGGAGACCCCAACACACTCCATGTACCTGACACCAGAGACCCCAACACACTCCATGTACCCAACACAGGAGACCACACTCCATGTACCTGACACCAAGACCCCAAACACTCCATGTACCACACCAGAGACACCAACAAAATCCATGTACCCGACACCAGAAACCCCAACACACTCCATGTACCTGACACCAGAGACCCCAACACACTCCATGTACCTGACACCAGAGACCCCAACACACTCCATGTAGATGACAGCAGAGGATGGGACACCCTGGGTAGAAGGTTCTCTCACCCCATCTCTGGCTCCGGGCGGCTCGGTCTATGCGGGGCGATTGGCAGCGCTGCTCTGGGACGGACTCATCACTAACATGAACTGACAGGCAGAGCCGGCTGTGGTGGGATCAGCAGTTCTGGCAGTGATGTCATCCCCCCGTCTATTCATCCCGCACCCCTCCCCCACCACCAATCACCAGCGTGTACCACCAAGGGGGGCAAATAATGGGGGCCCACCCCAAAACAACTTCTATCTCTCTGGGATTCTATTGATGAGATCCCTGGGCTGAGTTCCTGGGTCTGTACACCCGCTGTGCCCATTATGAGGGGTTCCCACCATCCCTGTGCTGAGTTCCCGGGTCTGTACCCCCGCTGTGCCCATTATGAGGGGTTCCCACCATCCCTGTGCTGAGTTCCCGGGTCTGTACCCCCGCTGTGCCCATTATGAGGGGTTCCCACCATCCCTGTGCTGAGTTCCCGGTCTGTACACCCGCTGTGCCCATTATGAGGGGTTCCCACCATCCCTGTGCCCATTATGAGGGGTTCCCACTATCCCTGTGCTGAGTTCCCGAGTCTGTACACCCCTGTGCCCATTATGAGGGGTTCCCACCATCCCTGTGCTGAGTTCCCAGGTCTGTACACCTGCTATGCCCATTATGAGGGGTTCCCACCATCTCTGTGCTGAGTTCCTGGGTCTGTACCCCCACTGTGCCCATTATGAGGGGTTCCCACCATCCCTGTGCCCATTATGAGGGATTCCCACTATCCCTGTGCTGAGTTCCCGAGTCTGTACACCCCTGTGCCCATTATGAGGGGTTCCCACCATCTCTGTGCTGAGTTCCCGGTCTGTACACCCCTGTGCCCATTATGAGGGGTTCCCACTATCTCTGTGCTGAGTTCCTGGGTCTGTACCCCCGCTGTGCCCATTATGAGGGGTTCCCACCATCCCTGTGCTGAGTTCCCGGGTCTGTACCCCCGCTATGCCCATTATGAGGGGTTCCCACCATCCCCCTGTGCTGAGTTCCCGAGTCTGTACACCCGCTGTGCCCATTATGAGGGGTTCCCCACCATCCCTGTGCTGAGTTCCTGGGTCTGTACCCCCACTGTGCCCATTATGAGGGGTTCCCACCATCCCTGTGCCCATTATGAGGGGTTCCCACCATCCCTGTGGGGTGTTTTCAGTGTCATGCAAATAGTGACTTTCAGGGAGTCGGGACTCATACAGGTGTTGCTGGTAGTGGGATGCAGTGGAGGGGGAGGGGAGACAATAAGGGCGGAGCCTAATAAAATCTTTATTACAACTTGCACCATGCAGAGCGGAAGGTCGGGACACGGAGAAGGGAGGGGGGTTACCTTGAAGGAGTACTTGCGGTTGATGCGATCCTCGGGCCCCCGCGGGGGAGATGATGTATCCTGGGAGCGGAATACTCCCCAGTATGGACTCCTCTTTACTGTCTGAGAGAAGAAATCCGAGAATCACCCGGCGATCCGTGCAGAGCGCAGACTGAGCGCAATTCCTGGCTGCACCTCTTCATACATCCCCCCGCCATCCCGCCGCAACACCCCGCTACACACCCTGCACGCCGCAACACCCCGCTACACCCTGCACGCCGCTACTACACCCTGCACGCCGCAACACTCCGCAACACCCTGCACGCCGCTACACCCCGCTACACCCTGCACGCCGCTACACCCCGCTACACACCTGCACGCCGCAACACCCCGCTACACCCTGCACGCCGCTAACGCCCCGCTACACCCACGCCGCAACACCCCGCACACCCTACCCCCTGCACGCCGCTACAACCCCGCTACACCCTGCACGCCGCAACACCCCGCTACACCCTGCACGCCGCTACACCCTGCACGCCGCAACACCCCGCTACACCCTGCACGCCGCTACACCCTGCTACACCCTGCACGCCGCAACACCCTGCATGCTGCTAAAACCCCCGCACGCCACTACACCCCGCATACCCTGCATGCTGCTACACCCCCCGCAAGCTGCTACACCCCGCTACACCCTGCACCCCACTACACCCTGCACGCTGCTACACCCCGCTACACCCTGCACTACCCTGCACCCCACTACACCCTGCATGCTGCTACACCCCCCTACACCCTGCACTACCCTGCACCCCACACTACACCCTGCATGCTGCTACAACCCTGCACTACCCTGCACCCCACTACACCCTGCATGCTGCTACACCCCGCTACACCCTGCACGCCGCTACAAAAAACCCTGCACGCCGCAACACCCCGCTACACCCTGCACGCCGCTACACCCCTGCACGCCGCTACACCCCGCTACACCCTGCACGCCGCAACACCCTGCATGCTGCTAAAACCCGCACACCCACCACCCGCTATACCCTGCATGCTGCTACACCCCGCATGCTGCTACACCCCGCTACACCCTGCACTACCCTGCACCCCACTACACCCTGCATGCTGCTACACCCCGCTACACCCTGCACTACCCTGCACCCCACTACACCCTGCATGCTGCTACACCCCGCTACACCCTGCACTACCCTGCACCCCACTACACCCTGCATGCTGCTACACACCCGCTACACCCTGCACTACCCTGCACCCCACTACACCCTGCATGCTGCTACACCCTGCACACCCTGCACTGCACCCCACTACACCCTGCATGCTGCTACACCCCGCTACACCCTGCAGCATTCCCTGCACCGAGCAGCAGCATCGCATTCTGTGTATATACTCCTGTGCAGTGTGACACACCGAGGGTGGAGGAGAGACGGAATGTGACACCAAGACAAAGAATTTCACGGAGAGGGAATATAATATACCAAAATCTGCCAGATACCTGGAGGGGTGAAAAGGTAGACCCCCCCAACTCTCCCCCCCCCCCCCCTTCCTGCAGAATGTGCAGAGCCATAGGAGGTGATATAATGGGGTGACCCCTGACTCCCCCATAATGTGCAGAGGCATAGACCATGATGTAATGGGACGACCCTTGACCCTCCACCCGACTCCCCACTGTTCTAGAATCAGAGGGAGTGACCTCTGACCCCCTCTTTCCAAAAATGTACAGAACCACAAAAGGGGATGGGGTAACCCTGACCCCCGACCCCAAAATGTGCAGAGCCTTATAAAGTTATGTCATGAAGCATTAAGTGACACCCCCCCATACTGTGCAGAGAACATGATGTAATGGGGTGACCCCTTACCGCTCCCCAGAATGCACAGTCATAGAAATGTAATGGGGAGACCACTGACCCTCCCCACCCCATCCCCACCACTGACCCCCTCTTCCTGAAAATGTACAGAGTCATAAAAGGGGATGTAATGGGGTAGCCTTTAACCCCACCCCTAAAATGACTCCTGTATGTGCAGAGCCATAGAAGAGAATGACTCCTGTCCTGACCCCCCATGTCCCCCCATAATGTGCAGAGCCATAGAAGAGGATGACTCCTGATCCCCCCCCCCCCATAATGTGCAGAGCCATAGAAGAGGATGACTCCTGATCCCCCCCCCCCCCCCATAATGTGCAGAGCCATAGAAGAGGATGACTCCTGATCCCCCACCCCCCCATAATGTGCAGAGCCATAGAAGAGGATGACTCCTGATCCCCCCCCCCCATAATGTGCAGAGCCATAGAAGAGGATGACTCCTGATCCCCCCCCCCCCATAATGTGCAGAGCCATAGAAGAGGATGACTCCTGATCCCCCCCCCCCCCATAATGTGCAGAGCCATAGAAGAGGATGACTCCTGATCCCCCCCCCCCATAATGTGCAGAGCCATAGAAGAGGATGACTCCTGATCCCCCCCCCCCATAATGTGCAGAGCCATAGAAGAGGATGACTCCTGATCCATAGAAGAGCCATAGAAGAGGATGACTCCTGATCCCCCCCCCCATAATGTGCAGAGCCATAGAAGAGGATGACTCCTGATCCCCCCCCCCCATAATGTGCAGAGCCATAGAAGAGGAGGATGACTCCTGATCCCCCCCCCCCCATAATGTGCAGAGCCATAGGATGACTCCTGATCCCCCCCCATAATGTGCAGAGCCATAGAAAGAGGATGACTCCTGATCCCCCCCCCCCATAATGTCAGAGAGCCATAGAAGAGAGGATGACTCCTGATCCCCCCCCCCCCCATAATGTGCAGAGACATAGAAGGGAGTGTAATGGGGGGTGACCCCTGACCTCTCACCTTTGTAGTAGAATAGGCAATAGTCGGACAGAAGGAACCATCTCCTCTTCCAGAGCTTCATGCCGGAGCTGTCCTACAGAGGAGATGAGTACAGATCAGCCAGACATGTATACAGAGACTACATCCTATAGAGGCCTCCTCTGCACTGTTACATACAGTATCTGCCATGTTGTGTGAACTCCAAAGTCGGGAGAGGCTTGGGTGGGACTCACCTGTTTGTAGAGCCATCCTCTCACCAGGACCGGGACATTCGGGTTCCTCTTGATGGACTGGTCTCTCTTGCCGAAGCTGTAGGCTTTACTGTTGGACTTCAGAACCTGGAGACACAAGAGAACATTGGTGGGGATCTCGTCTACTGGAAGGATGAATGTTCATGGATCAACAAAGGACAGCAATGACCCGAGAACAATGGGAGGTTCCCGCGGCCATAGAAGCTGCCGGTAATGATGAAAGGATTGTCAATGGAACCGGACATTTCCGTGAGCAATGCGCTCAGTCCACACGCTGGGAACCATCCGGACTGCGGTGATTGGTGCAGATAGAACGGGTTTTGTATCAAGGTGAATAAATCTGAAGCTGATGGTCAAAAACAACCCCCCCCCCCCCCCGTGATTCTGGTGTTCCAATCCCCTCCATATCATGTGATTCAGGTGTTCCAATCCCCTCCATATCATGTGATTCAGGTGTTCCAATCCTCTCCATATCATGTGATTCTGGTGTTCCAATCCCCTCCATATCATGTGATTCAGGTGTTCCAATCCCCTCCATATCATGTGATTCAGGTGTTCCAATCCCCTCCATATCATGGAATTCTGGTGTTCCAATCCCCTCCATATCATGTGATTCAGGTGTTCCAATCCCCTCCATATCATGTGATTCAGGTGTTCCAATCCCCTCCATATCATGTGATTTTTTGGTGTTTCCAATCCCCTCCATATCATGTGATTCAGGTGTTCCAATCCCCTCCGTATCATGTGATTCTGGTGTTCCAATCCCCTCCATATCATGTGATTCAGGTGTTCCAATCCCCTCCATATCATGTGATTCAGGTGTTCCAATCCCCTCCATATCATGTGATTCAGGTGTTCCAATCCCCTCCATATCATGTGATTCTGGTGTCCCAATCCCCTCCCAATCATGTGATTCAGGTGTTCCAATCCCCTCCATATCATGTAATTCAGGTGTTCCAATCCCCCTCCATATCATGTGATTCAGGTGTTCCAATCCCCTCCCAATCAGGTGATTCAGGTGTTCCAATCCCCTCCACATCATGTGATCCCAGGTGTTCCAATCCCCTCCATATCATGTGATTCAGGTGTTCCAATCCCCTCCATGGACACAGGTGTATACAATCCATCCCCTAGGCATGCAGACGGCTTCTACAAAACATTGGTGAAAGAATGGGTCGCTCTCAGGAGCTCAGTGACTCCAAGCGTGGTCCCGTGATAGGTGGCCACCTGGGCAATAAGTCCATCCGTGACATTTCCTGGCTACTAAATATTCCACGCTCAACTGTTAGTGGGATTATAACAAAGTGGAAGCCACTGGGAACAACAGCCACTCAGCCACCAAGTGGTAGGCCACGTCACATGACAGGGCGGGGTCAGTGCATGCTGAAGCGCACAGTGCGCAGAAGTCGCCAACTGTCTGCAGAGTCAATAGCTAAAGACCTCCAAACTTGGTGTGGCCTTCAGATGAGCCCAACAACAGTGCGTTAAGAGAGCTTCATGGAATGGGTTTCCATGGCCGAGCAGCTGCATCCAAGCCTTCCATCACCAAGTGCAATGCAATGCGTCGGATGCCGTGGTGTAAAGCACGCCGCCACTGGACTCTATGGCGGCGTGCTTTACACCACGGGAAGATGTGGTTCCTCTGGAGGGACCAATCACGCTTCTCTGTCTGGCAATCCGATGGATGTGTCTGGGTTTGGCGGTGGCCAGGAGAACGGTACTTGCCTGACTGCATTGGTTGCCAAGTGTAAAGTTTTGGTGGAGGGGGGATTATGGTGTGGGGTGTGTTTTTCAGGGGTTGGGCTTGGCCCCCTAGTTCCAGTGAAGGGAACTCTTAAGGCAACATGTTGGACAATTTCATGCCCCCAACTTTGTGGGAGGAGTTTGGGGATGGCCCCTTCCTGTTCCAACATGGCTGCCCACCAGTGCACAAAGCAAGGTCCATAAAGACATGGAGGAGCCCGTTTGGGGTGGAGAACTTGACTGTCCTGCACAGAGTCCTGACCTCAACCCCATAGAACACCTTTGGGATGAATTAGAGCGGAGACTGCGAGCCAGGCCCCTCCCCCGACATCAGTGCCTGACCAGACACAAATGTGCTTCTGGAAGAATGGTCCAACCTTCCCATAGACACCCTCCTAAACCTTGTGGACGGCCTTCCCAGAAGAGGTGAAGCTGTTAGAGCTGCAAAGGGGGGGCCAACTCAATAATGAACCCTACGGACTAAGACTGGGGGCCATTAACGGTCATGGTGTGTGGAAAGGGCGGGGCCAACTCAATATTGAACCCTACGGACTAAGACTGGGGGGCCATTAAAGGTCATGTGCGTGGAAAGGGCGGGGCCAACTCAATATTGAACCCTACGGACTAAGACTGGGGGGCCATTAAAGGTCCATGTGCGTGGAAAGGGCGGGGCCAACTCAATATTGAACCCTACGGACTAAGATTGGGGGGCCATTAAAGGTCATGTGTGTGGAAAGGGCGGGGCCAACTCAATATGAAACCCTACGGACTAAGACTGGGGGGCCATTAAAGGTCATGTGCGTGGAAAGGGCGGGGCCAACTCAATATTGAACCCTACGGACTAAGACTGGGGGGCCATTAAAAGGTCATGTGCGTGGAAAAGGGCGGGGCCAACTCAATATTGAACCCTACGGACTAAGACTGGGGGGCCATTAAAGGTCATGTGCGTGGAAAGGGCGGGGCCAACTCAATATTGAACCCTACGGACTGAGACTGGGAGGCCCATGAAAGGTCATGTGCGTGGAAAGGGCGGGGCCAACTCAATATTGAACCCTACAGACTAAGACTGGGGGGCCATGAAAGGTCATGTGTGTGGAAAGGGCGGCGGCCCGATACTTGGGGCAATATGGTGTATATAGAGTATAATACCCCGGGAATTGCCACATCCGATATAATACCAGAAATAAATCCCTCTGATGATCGGATGCAGAATATATAAGAACAATGGAGGAATGTAAATCCTGGGAGTTGGTCGGCTCGGTTCTCCTACTCCGAGGTCTATGAAGGATTATTGAACGGTGGTTTTGGTATTATTGCACGTTTTCATTCTAATAAAGAAGAAGCCAGGAGGGGGGGGGATATGGGAGGGAGATATAAGAGCAGAGGAGGGCGGGCCTGTGGGTT